ATGGCATTAAACTCATATCTATCCATAACGACCCAGAATGTAAATGGACTAAATGCTTCAATTAAAAGACATAGGGTGTCAGAATGGATTAAAAAACAAGACCCGTCTGTATGCTGCCTACAAGAGACTCATTTGAGACCTAAAGACACCTGCAGATTGAAAGTGAGGGGATAGAGAACCATCTTTCATGCAAATGGACATCAAAAGAAAGCTGGAGTAGCAACGCTTATACCAAACAAACTAGATTTTATTTATTTTATTTTTAAAAAGATTTTATTTATTTATTTGACAGAGAGAGAGAGAGAGACAGAGAGAGAGCAGAGGGGGAGGGAGGGGGAGGCAGAGGGAAAGGGAGAAGCAGGTTCCCCGCTGAGCAAGGAGCCGGATGCAGGGTTCAATCCCAGGACCCTGGGATCACGACCTGAGCAGAAGGCATACGCTTAACCAATTGAGCCACCCAGGCACCCCCAGACAAACTAGATTTTAAACCAAAAACTGTAAGAAGAGATGACGATTACTATATCATAATAAAAGGGTCTATCCAACAAGAAGATCTAACAATTGTAAATAATTATGCCCCCAACATAGGAGCACCCAAATATATAAAACAATTAATAATAAACATAAAGGAACTCATTGATAATAATATAATAGTAGGGTACTTTAATACCCCACTTACATCAATGGACAGATCATCTAAGCAGAAAATCAACAAGGAAACAATGGCTTGGAATGACACACTGGACCAGATGGACTTAACAGATATATTCAGAACATTTCATCCTAAAGCAGCAGAATACACATTCTTTTCAAGTGTATGTGGGATATTCTCTAGAATAGACCACATACTAGGTAACAAATCAGGCCTCAGCAAGTACAAAACGATTGAGATCATACCATGCATACTTTCCGACTACAATGCTATGAAACTTGAAGTCAACCACAAGAAAAAAATTGGAAAGACCATAAGTACATGGAGGTTAAAGAACATCCTAGTAAAGAATGAATGGATCAACCAGGAAATTAAAGAAGAAATTTAAAAAAATGCATGGAATAAAATGAAAATGAAAACACAGTGGTCCAAAACCTTTGGGATGCAGCAAAAGCAATCATAAGAAGGAAGTATATAGCAACACAGGCCTACCTCAAGAAGCAAGAAAAATCTCAAATGCACAACCTAACCTTACACCTAAAGGAGCTAGAAAAAGAACAACAAGTGAAGCCTAAAGCCAGCAGAAGAAGAGAAATAATAAAGATTAGAAAAGAAATCAATGATATAGAAATAAAAAACCCAGCAGAACAGGTCAATGAAACCAGGAGCTGGTTCTTTGAAAGAATTAATAAAACTAGCCAGACTTATCAAAAAGAAAAGAGAAAGGACCAAAAAATACAATAATGAATGAGAAAAATTATATGCCAACAAATTGGGCAATCTGGAAGAAGTGGATAAATTCCTAGAAACATATAAACTACCAAAATTGAAACAGGAAGAAATAGAAAACTTGAACAGACTGATAACCAGCAAAGTAATTGAATCAGTAATAAAAAATCACCCAACAAATAAAAATCCAGGGCCAGATGGCTTCTCAGAAGAATTCTACCAAATATTTATTTTTATTTATTTTTTTTAAGATTTTATTTTTTTGAGAGAGAGGTAGAGAGAGAGAGCCAGAGAGAGCACAAGCAGGGGGAGGGGCAGAGGGAGAAGCAGACTCCCCGCTGAGCAGGGAGCCGGATGTGGGGCTCGATCCCAGGACCCTGGGATCATGACCTGAGCCGAAGGCAGATGCTTAACCAACTGAGCCACCCAGGTGCCCCTCTACCAAATATTTAAAGAAGAGTTAATACCTATTCTTCTCAATCTGTTCCAGAAAAATAGAAATGGAAGGAAAAATTCCAAACTCATTCTATGAGGCCAGCATTACCTTGATTCCAAAACCAGACAAAGACTCCATTAAAAAAAGAGAATTATAGGCCAATATCCCTGATGAACATGGATGCAAAAATTATCAACAAAATACTAGCAAATTGAATCTAATAGTACATAAAAAGAATTATTCACCACAATCAAGTGGGATTTATTCCTGGGCTGCAAAGGTGGTTCAATATTTGCAAATCTATCAACTTGTACACCACATTGATAAAAGAAAGGATATGAGCCATATGATCTAATAGATGCAGAAAAAAACACTTGACAAAGTACAGCATCCATTCTTGATAAAAACACTCAACAAAGCAGGGATAGAGGGAACATACCTCAACATCATAAAGGCCATGTATGAAAGACGCACAGCTAATATTATCCTAAATGGGGAAAAGCTGAGAACTTTTCCTCCACGGTCAGGAACAAGACAGGGATGTCCATCTCAGCACTGTTATTTAACATAGTACTAGAAGTCCTAGCCTTAGCTGTCAGGCAACAAAAAGAAATAAAAGGCACCCAAATCAGCAAGGAAGAAGTCAAACTTTCACTCTTTGCAGATGACATGATACTCTATGTAGATGACCTGAAAGCCTCCACCAAAAAATTGCTAGAACCGATACACAAATCCAGTAAAGTTGCAGGATACAAAATCAACATGCAAAAATCTGTTGCATTTCTACACACCAATAATGAAACAGCAGAAAGAGAAATCAAGGAATTGATCCCACTTACAACTGCACCAAAACCCATAAGATACCTAAGAATAAACCTAACCAAAGAGCTAAAAGATCTGTACTTTGAAAACTATAGCGCGCTTATGAAAGAAATTGAAGATGACACAAAGAAATGAAAAGACAGCTCATGGATTAGAAGAACAAATATTATTAAAATGTCTATACTACCCAAAGCAATCTACACATTTAATGTGATGCCTATCAAAAAACCACTAGCATTTTTCACAGAGCTAGAATCCTAAAATTTTTATGGGACCACCAAAGACCCCAAATAGCCAAAGCAATCTTGAAAAAGAAAAGCAAAGCTGCGGTCATTACAATCATGGACTTCAAGGTATATTACAAAGCTGCAGTGATCAAGACAGTATTGTACTGGCACAAAAAGAGAAAGATCAGTGGAACAGAACAGAAAACCCAGAAATGGACCCATAACTATATGGCCAACTAATCTTTGAAAGCAAGAAAGAATATCCAATGGAAAAAAAGTCCCTTCAACAAATGGTGTTGGGGAAAGTGAACAGCAACATGCAGATGAAACTGGACCACTTTCTCACAAGATACACAAAAATAAATTCAAAATGCATGAAAGACCTAAATGTGAGACAGGAAACCATCAAAATCCTGGAGAACACAGATAGCAACCTCTTTGACATCGGCTATAGCAATTTCTTATTAGGTCTCTGGAGGCAAGGGAAACAAAAGCAAAAATGAACTATTGGGATGTCAACAAGATAAAAAGTTTCTGCACAGTGAAGGAAACAATCAGCAAAACTAAAAGGTAACCTTTAGAATGGGAGAAGATATTTGCAAATGACATATCTGATAAAGGGTTAGTATCCAAAATCTATAAAGAACTTATTAAAGTCAACACCCAAAAACCAAATAATCCAGTTAAGAAATGGTCAGAAGATGTGAATAGACGTTTTTCCAAAGAAGGCATCCAGATGGCTAACAAACACATAAACAGAGGCTCAACATCGCTCATCAGGGAAATACATACCAAAACTACAATGAGATTCACCTCACACCTGTCAGAATGGCCAAAATTAACAACTCAAGAAACAACAGATGTTGGCGAGGATGCAGGGAAAGGAGAACCCTCTTATAATATTGGTGGGAATGCAAACTGGTGCAGCCAATGTGGAAAACAGTCTGGACGTTCTTCAAAAGGTTAAAAATAGCACTACCCTAGATCCAGCAATCGCACTACTAGGTATTTACCCAAAGGATACAAAAATACTGATTCGAAGGGATACAAGCACCCTGATGTTTATAGCAGCATTATCAACAATAGCCAAATTATGGAAAGATCCCAAATATCCATCCACTGATGAATGGATAAAGAAGATGTGGTGTATATATACAATGGAATATTACTCAGCCATAAAAAGAATGAAATCTTGTCATTTGCAATGACACGAATGGAGCTAGAGTGTATTATGCTAAGGAAAATAAGTCAGTCCGAGAAAGACAAATGCCATGATTTCACTCATATGTGGAATTTAAGAAATAAAACAGATAAACGTAGGGACAAAAAAGGAGAAAGAGGCAAATAATAAAACAGATTCGTAACTATAGAGAACAAACTGAGGGCTGCTGGAGGGGAGGTGGCAAGTGGGGGTGGGTTAAACGAGTGAAGGATATTCATGGGGGCACTTGAGATGAGCACTGGATATTATGCACAAGTGTTGAATCACTAAATTCTACTCCTGAAACTAATATTACTGGAATTTAAATAAAAACTTGAGACTAAAATAAAAAACAACAAAAAAAAAACAATATAAAACCTTGGTGGTCATTGTAAGGGCTTTGGCTTTCGTTATGAGAGAGATGGGAAGCCTCTGGAAGGCTTTGACGGGAGGTGTTTACATTTCAACCAGGTCCAGCTGGTTGCTGTGATGATCAGGTAGCAAAGAGGTGGAGGCAGAGATGGGAACAAGAGAGCATTCAGTAGATTATTTCAATAATCCAGGCAGAGTTGAATGGGGGCACTCCAACCAGTCCGGTAGAAGCAAGAGAGGCAGCTGGCTTTTGTTTATATTTGCAAACAGAGTCAATAGGATTGACAGACTGTGGGTGTGAAAAAAAGAATAATAAGAGTTGACCTCACGTTCATGGACCTGCGCAACTGTTGGAACGGAGCTGCTGGGATACGGAAGGGTCCAGCGCGGAGTGAGCGGGGGTGAGGCAGCAACTGGAGGTGGCTCCTGAGCCACCCGGGGGGCTGGTGGGTACCTGCGGCCCTGCCCCCAAGGAAATGGCTGGAAAACTCCCGCTCCCAGCGTGCTCCGCGCGCCGGCCCGCGCGCCCGGGGGGCGGGTCCTGTGCGCGCGTGCGCCGAGGCGGAACGGGCTGGCGGGTGCGGCGAGGCGGTTCCTTCGAGCGTGGTAGTTTGTTCCGTGAAGGGAGTGAGAACGGTTAGGCGCTCTCGGCCACCTTCCCTTCCCCGGTAAGTGCGGCGGCGGTGGCGGTTGGCGCCGCCAGGTGGGGGACGGCCTCCAGAGGAGAGTGCTGGCGCGCCTGGTGGCCCCATCTGGAACATTTCGAGCTCGCGGCCGTCGCCCCTCGGGGGCTGTTGGTCGCCTCCGTGAGGCGGTCGGTGTAAGCTCGGTGCTCGCGGGCCCGGCCGCCGGGGTTTCGCCCGCCTGGCAGATGGCGAGGCCGGAGTGAGGGAACGGGGCGGGCGGGGAGAGGCGAACCGCGGGGAGCCGTGAGGGGTCGCGCCGGGCCCTGGGGACGGCCACCGCGCAGCCCCGCGCACGCGCGCCAGTGGAGTGAACGACTGGAGCCTCAGGTGCCTTCGAATCCCAAACTCCTGGGGACCTCGCTCCGAATTTCTGCCCTGGGACCGCTCGGTGTCTGTTGTGGACCCGGCCGGATTATCAGCCCCCGGAAGACTTGAACTCTTAACGTTTTTGTTTGCCCACGACTTGCAGCGTAGTGCCGTAGATACGATAGATAATGCCCACGGCTGTTCCTGGTTGGACGTTACGGTGGTCGTGGCATTTCGGTCCTTCGGCGCGAGATGCGATCGCTTATTGCACGCGGAGCCTGAGTAGTCCTGCAGGTCCCTCTTGAAGGCTCGCGATGTGGGGACACTGCTAAAAAGTGAAAAGACTACCGACTCGTCACGGTGTCTCCGTAGCTCCCCGTTTGCAGAGCCAGATTTGTACCCTGCCCTATGTGAATCCAAAACCAGAGGCTGTAGCCTAGACCGTCGAGACCAGGTTACGGTGGGATCATACCGTTAGTAGTGGTAGTCCAGAACGTGTGCACCAGCCGTGAAGAATAGACTGTTCATCGGCAAGTCTGGAAGGGAGTGGAGTTTTTCTGGAAAACACACACACACACACACACACACACACCCGAACGTGTGCACCAGCCGTGAAGAATAGACTGTTCATCGGCAAGTCTGGAAGGGAGTGGAGTTTTTCTGGAAAACACACACACACACACACACACCCCCCCACCCCCCCGAGTTGAGTAGTATTCCAGGCTAAGATAGTGGGTTGAATACGTGTATCTGATATTACTCCCTCCTGAAATCTCACCAAAATTACAGTAAAGAGGTTTTTTAAAAGACATACATCCAAATGATGGAGAGAATGGGAAAGGAAACAACGGCAGTAAAATATTGGGATCTGGAAAGCAAGTGTTCTTCGCAAACCTTAGCTTAATTCTAAACCTGCAACAAGGAATACTGTGGAACAAGTCTCTACAAACCACGGGAACTGGCAGCACCAGACACCTGGAGAACTGCCAGTGAAGGAAATGGTGTTGGGGGCATAGGTGGAGGGCTTAAATAAAGCTTGAACTGAGGTGAAATCTGTTCGAGAAGCAATTAGATATCTACATCTCCTTCCCTGTTTCACATTTTTGGGTGACTGCCTTTCTCCTATTAGAAGGCAGGAGGCTATTCCCTTGAGAACATAAAACAGGATCTTTGAACCAGGGGACCCCAGACACACTTAATTATGGGGCTACATTTATGAAAGCAGGGACACTGCACTCAGCAGTGTTCCCACATCGCGAGCCTTCAAGAGTGACCTTCAGGACTACTCAGGCTCAGCTAGACTAACTCCCCTCAGGCTCAGATAAGAATTTTTCTACACATACATACACATTTGTGGAAAGACAGACGATAAGTTGGTCACAGTGGTTGCTTCTGGGAAAGGAAAGGAACTACGTGGCTGGGGGAGAAGGATGTGAGGAGACTTAACTATTTACATTTTTGTTCTTTTAAAATTTTGTACCATATAGCATATATTACCTATTCAAAAAGCAAATGTATTCCTTAAAAAATATAATTTCAAATGAATATACCGTTTGATACAGCAGTTCCTCCCCCACAAATTTATTTTATAGGTTTGTCTACATGAGAAAATAATTTAAGTACATGCCATTCATCACAATATTTTAGCAAAAGATTGGAAACAATCTCAATGTTCATTAATAGGTAATGGTTGGTGAAATAAATTATGTACGGCCTTCCTTGGAGTATATTGCAGCCATAAAATACAATGAAAGAAGCTCATTGTATAAAGAAAAGAGTAAGCACAAAGTGGATTTTAAGTGGTGGGGGATTCAGAAAAATATCATAGGTTTATTTTTTTAAAAGGAGGGGTATGTGTGTATATATGTAGAAAATATCTGGAAAGATATGTAAGAAGCAGGTAATATTAGCTGACTTTGGAGAGGGGATCTGGATAACAAGGCAAAAGAGGAATAAGAGAGGCTTTTCACCGTATATTTTTGGTACCTTTGAACTTGAACCCTCTTCTTGTTATCCACTGAATGAATAAATAAATGTTAACAGGAAATAATAGATGAATAGTGGAGATCCTGATGTTGGTAATACCCTGAACAATAAAAGATCTCTTACAATAAGAAGGAATGCTGCATAACAATCCCAAAATCTCAGTGGCTTACATTTCATGCTCTTGGTTCTTCAGTGGCTTAGATCTTGGCTGGATTAGGCTGGACTCCAACTTTAGTTTTGGGTTCATATCTGCAACATGTATCTTTGTTCTGGGACCCAGGCTGAAAAAGCAAAAATACCTGGAACGTGCTCTTCTGATGGCTGAGGGTGGGAGTTCAAGGGGGGCTTCTTGAAATTTGCCCTGTTTCTGCTCAGAAGTGACACATTGCAACTTTTACATATATTCCATTAGTTAAAGCAATGTCATATAGTCAAGCCCCAAGTCAATAGGGTAGAGATGTATGTACACTCCGCCTACTGGGAGGCTCTGCAAAGGCACCTAACAAAGGGTGTGGATATATACTTCTGTTGTAGGGTAGGAGGAGGAGTTGGGAAAGATAATGATAAAAGAAATGGGTTAATAGAAAAATACTCTGACATTAAATTGAAGATAGTTGGTTGAGAATAAAGATGCTTAGAAAAAAAGATACGCGTGTATGCCAAAATACAACATTCTACTTTGATACGAATTCTCTTAAGGTTTCCTTGTCAAGGTATCACACTGGCTTTTCTTACGTAATATCTGCCATCCCCACACCTGGCCCTGTAACCCAATTCTGAGTGCCCATGGTTTTAGAAAGTTTGAAAATAATGAAATAATGCACCTGTAAAGGCACTAGTTCTTAGAGAAGTAGTTCTAAATGTGTTTATTTCAGCTCCTGAATGTGTTCATTAATAGTTCTTATGTCATATCCATGTCTGCCAACCCACCTTTCACAACAGAATCTTCTTTTCAGGGAGATGTCCTTTGCTTCTCAGATGTAATGCACTTTAAGTTTGTTATTCAACAGTGAAAATGAGTCATACAGAGGTAATACATACTTTCATATGTTCTGCATCTTCAGGGCTCCTTTTTTTTTTTTTTTTTTTTAAGTCATGTGGCTCCAGAGTAATTTTCTTATTTTTAACTTGTACTGTGAGAGACAGTATAGCATTAGTGGTTAAAGGAAGGACTTTTGGAGCAAACTGCCTGAGTTTGAATCCTAGCCACTAGCCTATATAGCTAGTGGCTGTATAACCTTGGGTACATTACTTAACCTGCTGTGCCTCTGTTTTCTCATCTATAAAAAGTACTTGCTTCATAGAATTATTAGGAAGGTTAAATAAGTTAATACATATAAAGCACTTATAGTAGTACCTGACACACAATAAGTACTTAAATATTAGCTATTGTTAATATTGCTTTTTATTTGGAGACCATGTGAATCATGGGCCTCACAGAACAAACATAGTTATTTAGTTGTCTGAATAGGCAAGGAAGTAATTTTTGATCCCTTTATTTTCTTGAATTCCAGGTTAAATTAAAAATACCTTTTGGAAATAAATTACTAGATGCTGTTTGTTTGGTACCTAACAAGAGCTTAACATATGGAATAATTCTTACACATGGAGCGTCAGGAGATATGAACCTTCCTCATTTGATGTCACTGGCATCCCATCTTGCATCTCATGGTTTTTTTTGTCTGAGATTTACCTGTAAAGGCCTTAATATTGTACATAGAATTAAGGCATATAAATCAGTTTTGGTAAGAAAATTTCTTTATATTTACTTATAACAGAATTTTGTTTTAAAATTCTTAATACATTTAAGACAAATTCTATTAGCAGTCATTTGGTTTATTTTAAAAAGCTTTTAATGAATATTCTTAGAAACTCAACAGTACATGAAGGCTGTATAGTATATTTCTCTTTGCTCTCAGTTTCCATGGAGATGAATGCTCACATCATAAATGTTCTTTCATGGTACTACCAAGGAAGCTATAACGTAATTTTCTTAATGGAATTATATAACTTCAGCATATAGTTCTGGATATTTGCCTACTATACTATGAATGTGCAAATATAGCACAATTTTAAAACTGTAAAATCCCTGGATAACACAAATTTGAAATTTTTTAAATCCAGATTATTTCAAACTTGCTAAGTTTTCCAGGGCTTTAAATTAGATTTTAGTACTATTCTGTATTGGTTGGAAGCTTTTACTGGCTGGTTTTTTTTAATGTAATTCTTTAAAAATACTTTAGTACTTTAATTTTTTTTAGACAGGCCAAGTAGTTTTTTTTCTCATTTATTTGCCTGTGTTTACCCAGCTATGATTTGGTAGTGACAGCATGACCAGAAGAGCAAAGAACTGGTTACCTCTTTTCAAGAAGAATCCCTTGAGATTTTATGGTTGTCTTTGCAAAGAGTTTTATACATTTCACTAATGATGAGAAATACTTGTTGGTTTTCCAGTGGAATATTTCATAGAAGAAGAACTGATAATTTTTTGGTTGGTTTTTCTAGAATTACCTAAAGACCTCAGGAGAATACAAACTGGCAGGTGTTTTCCTTGGTGGTAAGTTGCAATACTTGCTTTTAAATCTATTCATATTAATATAGGAATAAGTGATCAGAAATTAAAATTAATTGATAATAGGAAGCTAATTTAAGAATTTTTTGTTCTGGGGCACCTGGGTGGCTCAGTCGTTAGGCATCTGCCTTTGGCTCGGGTCCTGGTCCCAGGGTCCTGGGATCGAGCCCCGCATGGGGCTCCCTGCTCGGCGGGAAGCCTGCTTCTTCCTCTCCCACTCCCCCTGCTTGTGTTCCCTCTCTTGCTGTCTCTCTCTTTGTCAAATAAATAAATAAAATCTTTAAAAAAAAAAACTTTTTGTTTTGGTAAGTCACTTTGTTGTATAACATCAAGGTACTTTATATATTTAAAGCAAATTTAAATCTCATAAATATGTATTGTAACCCAAAGAGCTCTTCTTTTATTTATATCCCTGAGTCACTGTTTCTCAAATGATTCTTCATAAGGATTGTCCTTACCGCAAGTATTCTTCAGGAAAAAAAAAAAATTTCCTTTTTTTGACTTGGGATCAATTTTTAGCATTTCATGAAGCTATGGATGTCCATTATGGGTATTACAACTTGTTAATTGCCACCTTTTGGAGTTAAGTGATAGAGTTATGATGGATGAACAGTAAATGAAATCTAATTTGCCGTATTATCACTTCTATATATGAATGTTTATATTTCAAACTGAACTTAATTTTAATTGATTTTAGGTCGTTCAATGGGCTCAAGAGCTGCTGCTTCTGTAATGTGCCATATTGAGCCAGATGATGCTGATGATTTTGTTCGAGGTCTCATTTGTATTTCTTACCCACTGCACCATCCAAAGCAGCAACATAAACTTAGAGATGAAGATCTCTATCGTATAAAAGATCCTGTATTGTTTGTGTCAGGCTCAGCAGATGAAATGTGTGAAAAGGTGAATTATAACTTGATGTTTGCATAAATGAGAGAGTGAATGAAAGTGTCTTGGGAACAAGATGTTATCTGCAACTTTCAGTCTCTTTAAAAGGTCCTGATTGGACTCATGCTAATTTTGTGACTTAGTTACCTGTTGCTTTGGAGAACTGAAAAATATTAAGCATACTGACAGAATTCATCTCCCTGGAAAGAGTTGCTAAATGGATTGACTCTTATTGGGAATAAAAGATTAATATCTGAATTTTGTGATTTGGGGATTTATACTAGACCATACATTTGATTTATCATTTCAGCATTTAAGCAGATTCTTCTGTTTGTTATAAAATTGACTCGAGAAAGAGTAACTTGTACATGTTACTATATACCGTCAGTAATGAATGCTTGATCTGTTCTGTGGTATTGCTGTATTTGAGAGATGTGGACTGCCACTTCTGTGGACATCTCTTTGCATATTCCATTGCCTTGAAAGTTGTCTGTAGAGCAGGTATTTAATGAATATTTAGTGAATGGATGCCAGCATAGGCGGTGCAGGGGAGAGGGAGGATCTTTATTAAACCCTAAAAGAGCGTTAGTCTAGCATCCTTTTCTTTTTTTCCTTTAGAACTTGTTGGAGAAAGTGGCACAGAAAATGCAAGCTCCCAATAAAATCCACTGGATTGAGAAGGCAAATCATTCCATGGCAGTGAAAGGACGGTCAACAAATGATGTTTTCAAAGAAATAAATACACAGATTTTGTTTTGGATCCAAGAAATCACTGAAATGGACAAGAAATAATTGTATTTAGCTAAAAGCTATGTTATTTTGAATACAGATACAGTTCATTTGATAAAGAACATCACACCTCTCAGCATTATGAGATATTTCAGATGAATTTAATGTTCTTTAATGTTTCCCCCATTTTTAAAACACGTTTTAATTGTGGAAATTAAGGTCCTTTATAAAATATCATTTGAAAGCACTGTTATAGTTGTATAAAGATGATGTACAAATATTGAAGGTGGTCTAAATATAATTTATTTTCATTAATATAGTTAAGTTTTGAAAAAAAATTAAACATTTGAATTTTGTTACAATGGAACTTTTGTCTTATTTGCTATGCAACTGAGAAAGTACTCTTAATTTTGCAGAGCAGTGTCTTTAAAAAAGGAAAACAACAGTTTACTGTGGTAAATTTAGTCAGTTTTATAGAATGTATGCATTCATTCACCTAATCTTTTAATCTTGCGGGATAGGAAGGAAGATACATTTTCAAATATGGGGACTCTGAACGTTGTTTTTGTGATGAAGTAGCTTTCATTCAAGAAATGCTTCTTGAAGGCCTGTTACAGGCAAAGCCTGATTAGGTTTGTGAAGATGAGTAAATACTTAAGTGCTTAAATATAATGGAGGAACTTGATGTCTAGACCTCTCTCCAATTAAGGGGAGAAAGAAGTAAGAACTAAACCATGGGACTAACATCTGTGCTGTATCTAGGCAAAGTTAGGGTACTTTTGGCTTGGAAAGTTCAGTTAATACCTGGACTGGACTTGAGTGGTGTTGAGCTATATATTAAAAACATAGTGTCTCGGGGCGCCTGGGTGGCTCAGTTGGTTAAGCGACTGCCTTCGGCTCAGGTCATGATCCTGGAGTCCCGGGATCGAGTCCCGCATCGGGCTCCCTGCTCAGCGGGGAGTCTGCTTCTCCCTCTGACCCTCTTCCCTCTCATGCTCTCTGTCTCTCATTCTCTCTCCCTCAAATAAATAAATAAAATCTTTAAAAAAAAAATAAATAAATAAAAAAAATAAAAACATAGTGTCTGTATTTCCTACAAAGGGCACAAAATGTAATGGGGCTGATATATAAGTTTGTAGTAAAGGGTCGTTTTCTATAGTAAGGTATTAATTCTTTTTCCTGGCTTCTTTATACTCTAATGTTAGGCCCTTCAGACAACCTCAGGGTGGCCTGAGCAGCTTACAGATTTTTGAGGTCCCTCATTCTTTCTCTGATGGAGTCAATAGATTTTAATTATTTGTTAATTTTTTCTAAATAGTACATAAAGAACAGAAGCCTAGATAACAATGTCCAAATTGTTTTATGTTATAGAATGAAACTATGAAATCTAATTTTCTTTCACTCAGTGTATAATAGTTACTTTTTGACTAAATTTCTCAAGGCCTAAATTTTTAAAAATAGTATTTATTTAATCATTGATTTACATTCAGAACTTTAAAACACTACTGATGTCAAAATATAAACATGTAAAAAATACCCAGAGCTGACAAATACAATCATAGTGTATAAACAAGTATAAATCAATTGGGAAATATTAATACTGTAAATCAGAAGTAAAACTAATGGGAAAATGAAAAGGAAAACTTATTATAGAGCAGACCATAATATAAAAGTACAATGAAGAAATAAATTTAAAAGGTTACTAGCCAGGTTATATAGTTATAATATTCAAGTTTGCAAATTATAAAGTGTAGGCATGATATAGACGACCAAAAATACTGTAACAAATACAGAGATAATGTAGGTCATTTAAAGTTGATTTTTTTCCCCGAGTGGCCTGTAAGAAACTTCCTGATTGATGAAAAGGCTTGTCTTTTGAGAACTGTGTACCTAGTCAGGGGTGGGGAACATACAACTCCTAGAGAGAGATCAGGGATCTGTGTAAGGCTGAAATGAACATTTGTGAAAAGGTTCCAGCTGCTTTTCACAAATTTGCCATGTCTTGCAGGAAAAATGAGCAGCCCCTTCAAGTTTGAGATTATGGTCAAAGAGCTGTCCTGGCATCCCTGGTAGGCACCCCTGATTAATGGCACAACCACCACCTAGACCAGTAGTTCTCAACTACTGATTTTGCCCCCTAAGGGACATTTGACAGCCTCTGGAAACTTGGCTGGCACAATGGGGTGGCGGTGCTACTGGCATCTGATAGGTAGAGGAAAGGGATGCCGCTAACAGTCTGTAATGCACAGGACCGCCAGCCATAACAAAGAAGTATCTGATCCAAAATGTCAGTAGTGTCCAGGTTGAGAACCTTGTCCTAGACAAACTTTAGCCGTGGGAATATCGTGAAATCCTTTCTCCCTCACCATTAGCTTTTCTACCCCCTTCCAAATCCATTTGCTTCCTTTAAGTTGCCAAGCCCTGGGTTTTCAGTCTCAAAGTCTGTTGTTTTATCCCCTCTTCTGTTTACACTGCCATCACTCTAATGTAGGCCTTTATTAATTCTCATCTGCATAATTGCAGTAACCTAACTGATTTTCCTATTTTGTGGTCTCCTTGCTTCAACAAACCAATTTGACACCCTCAACTCAAAAACTGCTGATGGATCTCCAAAAGTGGCTTATATTAAGTCTTTAGGTCAAGGCTGTCCGCAATAGGGTGTATCAACTTTTTAGCGCATTTCCCCATACTCTGAACGTGTACAGCACAGTATTCCAGTTAACCTGGAGTATACAAAGTTTTGGAACAAAGTCTGCCTCCTCTTCCTGAAACTTTCTTGTTGGTCTTTGTTACCAAATCCTCATCCTTTAAGACCCTTAAATTATTTTTCCCTCTTTACAGCTTTTTTTGAATTGCCGCAACCAAGTATCCCTCCTTGGAACCCATATAATATCTTCCTCTCTTTGTTGTTAATCACACTCTGCCTTCTTAATACATTATTGGCATATTTGTGCCATATCATATATTAAATACTCCCATGTCAGGGAATGGTTTTTACTGATCTTTGTATCCATAGAGCACTTGTTAATTAGTTGTTCAGTGCCTTACATATTCATTATTCAATATTTGTTGTTTTGAACTAAGATATTTAGAGGGAGAATTTTTAACCATTATGAGCAATCTCTGGTTTTATATTGCTATTTTATACACCTATTATTGGGACTTTTTCCTGATACATAAAAAAAAAAAGCCTAGTTCACAATGTCCAAAAAGTGTAAAGAATGTAACATTCATAGACATAATAGATTTTTTTAAAAACTTAGAATTTTTCGGGGTGCCTGGGTGGCTCAGTCTGTTAAGCGTCGCCTTCAGCTCAGGTCATGATCCCAGGGTCCTGGAATTGAGCCCCACATCTGGCTCTGCTCAGTGGGAAGCCTGCTTCTCCCTCTGCCTGCCGCTCCCCCTGCTTGTGCTCTCTCTCTCAAATAAATAAATAAATTAATTAAAAAAAAAAAACTTAGAATTTTTTGGAGTGTTCTCTTATAGTGTCTATATTACCGTTAGTGATGGGGTTTCTCTGGTGTTCATTATTTTATTTTTTTATTGTCTTCATAATTTTTAAAAATAAATCCAGCTTAGCACTTACTTTTATGCAGCTTACTTGAGATTGACATGGGAAGACGTTTCTGGTGTCAAGAACAGCGGTGTCTGCTGAGAACTAGGTGATTGTACCTTTTTAGTAGGCAGGTACATAGGTAACAAACATGCAAAGCCCTAACGGAGGATACTTTTTACCTCTACGTTCTTCCCCTTCAGCAGGAGTGGTACACAGAAGTTCCTTTTCAGTTCTTACAGAGCTGGTCTGTGGTAATACAAATCAGGCATTCCATGCCATAAAGCTCTGAAAGATCTAAGGAGCTCTGAAGCGTTAAAACATTGAATACAGTAGTTAACATTAAATGAATTCGAGAATGCCTGCTATCAGGCAAGAGAAATTGCGTATTTTGCTAGCTGCATTAAATTCTATAGAAAAACCCAGCAGAATAAATCACCCTGATTGTGTATGTGGATGGGGGCTCAAAGAGGCGGGTATACTTTATCCTAGAAAAATCCAGAGGAATTGCTGAAGTTTCTTTAAGAACTAATGAATGCCTGCCCTACATTCTGGAGGGCTATCCTTTGCAAAGACAAACCCCAAGGTCATAGTTAAACCTAAGTAAAGATTGTAAATACCTGTAGGCTATAGTCTGGTAGACTGAGAGACTAAAACTCTGAGGCTTAGGATGTGTCACTGAGCTCATTATTTCCAATACCCCAGGAAGGTAAGAGCTCAATAAATCTTTCTTTCACTCAGTTATACTTAATATGACAGAAGAGACCTGAAGAGTTAACTCCACTGAAAAGAATATACTTCTTTCCTCAACCCACCTTGAATAAGTGAAGACAAAGAGAGAATTAATCTTCAAAGAGAAAGTACTCTAAATCCAAGGTAGTGTTAGCACTTTTCATTAATAATCTAGACTGTCTTGTGTTTGGACTGTAAACTTATACACCTACTCTCTAGACTTTGAGGGAAAGTGAGCAGCACTTAAAGCCGGCTCTACTCCATGCTGATTCTGACATCAGAAAGCCTCCCAGTAGCTGTTCCTTGGAATCACCAGAGACAGGGCGAAAAGGAATTCACCAGGAGACCATTTCAAAATCTTTTTTTTTTTTAAGATTTTATTTCTTTATTTGAGAGAGAGAATGAGAGAGAGAGAGAGCACATGAGAGGAGGGAGGGTCAGAGGGAGAAGCAGACTCCCCGCTGAGCAGGGAGCCCGATGCGGGACTTGATCCCGGGACTCCAGGATCATGACCTGAGCCGAAGGCAGTCGCCTAACCGACTGAGCTACCCAGGCGCCCAAAGGCAACTTTTTTTTTTTTAAAGATTTTATTTATTTATTTGACAGAGAAAGACAGCGAGAGAGGGAACACAAGCAGGGGGAGTGGGAGAGGGAGAAGCAGGCTTCCTGCTGAGCAGGGAGCCCGATGTGGGGCTCGATCCCAGGACCCTGGGATCATGACCTGAGCCCAAGGCAGACGCTTAACAGACCATTCCAAAATCTAACTGGTTTTCAGCATTAACGGTAGATTGTTAAGGAACATTGCTAACAGACCCCTCTAGCTAAAAGAATAAAATGAGACATCCTATTAAAAAAAAAATCAGGCAGGCCCATAAGAGACAAGCTATCATGTCCTACCTAGTGACGATGAGACATACTAAAAAATCATTTGGTATTTACCTGAAATTTAAACTGGGGCATTTAGTTTTATTTTTTGTTTTGTTTTTACTAAATCTGGCAAAACTACATATTTTCCTAATCACAAGCATAAAATACAGTATTCCTGGTGGGTTATGTCTAATTCAAATTTGTTCTGGAATTACAGGGTAGTAATAATCCAAGGGATTGTTTATAGAATTATTTTCTTTTTGTGAAATTAATAAAGGATTATTTAAAATTTTTAAATTAAAAAAACTAAAGCAGCATACATGTCTCACCAATGAACTTTAATTATTGCTAAAGTAAGTTGACATGAGCTCAGTTGAATACCCACTATGACACGTACCTCCCTTTACTTAGGCCCAGAGCAGGCCCTGCTGCACTTGGTCAAGACACGGAGCAGCACTGGAAGTTTTTTTCTGGCAGAGCATTGCATGTGGTTACAAGATGGGCATACCACCTTTTTGTGTTTTGGGGCATCCAAAATTGAAGACTTCAGAATGAGACATCAATCTATCTCACACATTACACAAAAATGTCAAAGCAATTTTATTTCTTTAAAAAAGCAGTGCAGAATAGACTGGAAGATAATAATACATTTTGGACATTGTGGGAACTTGTAGAGTCCTGGACTCAAAATGATTGGGTGGCAATCTTTTTTATAATTTTCCTAGGGATTATTGTTGAGATCATACTCATAAAGATCTGTACATCCTTTACTAAGAAGCCTGCACTTCCAGAAAAGGGTAGTTCAAGTGCCCAGGAGGTAAGAACAAATGGTTGATTTCTTTCTCTCCTATTTTTCAAAATCATACATAAGAATAACATAAAATTGTAGAACTTTGATATTTGGATTACTCCTCTAACATTTGTTTATTAATCTCCCTTGAAATAGAAGGAAGACAGTTGCCTGAAAAGCATGCAATTTGGTAAATATTATATAATTTCATATTTTAATATAAAACTTGTTCAACCTGAGCCTCTCCTATTGGTGCTCTGACCTTTTTTTTAAATTCCCACTTATCTCTAGATAACTGTCCAATTCCTTCATCTTCAGAAGAAAGGTAAGTGATATATTTTGAAATTAAATGAAACAGGTTGGTTTTGTGCTATTCAAAATTGCATTTACATCTGAATTACAGAAAAGGATTTTCCATATGTATAGAGGACCACAGCTACTTGACATCATAATTCAATCTAACATTGATTTTATTTTATTTTTTCATTTTTTAAAAATTGAAATTAATTTAGCCAACATATAGTATCATTAGTTTCAGATGTAGAGTTTAGTTAATCATCATTTGCATCTAACATTGATTTTAATGGTTGCTCTGTTCCAAGCTGTGTTAATATCTTTCATGTACTATTAAAATTATCCTTCCAAGTAGGTAGTATTATTGCTATTTTTACAAGTGAGGAAAGTTTACTGAGGTTTAGTAACTTGCTTCCCTATCCAACCTCTCTCTCCCGTACACATGAATAAGTTGTAACACCAGTTCTGATAACTCAGTTGAAAAAAATATCATTTAGCACCTACCTACTGTGAACCAAGCAAACCCTGAGCTAGGTATTGCAAGAGTGACATTCTGTTTATACAGTCAGAATCCATCAGCATCCCAAAGATATTCCAGTGCTAGGGATTAAATATGACATCACTATTCTTGTTGCTATTAATATTTTAATTGCTCATATCAAAATCTAGTCAAGAATCATTAGATATCTACTCTACAATGGACTTTGTGTTTGATATTGGGATACAAACAATAAAATAGTCTCTGTTCTCTAGAAGCTTACATTCTTGTGGAGGAGATATATACATAAAGGATGATTGCCTTGCAGTATGATAACACAGTGATAGAAGCATTAGGAAAACATTTAGGAGATACCTAAGCCAGCATAGGGTGTTGGGGATGGCTTCACGAATAAGGTTACGCTGGAGCTGAATTTTAAAGGATGAGTGAAAATTAGTCAGAAAAGATAGCAGGTTAGGAGGATAAGGAGGGCATTCCAGGACATGAGTAGAGGCAAGGAAATAAGAAACAGCAGGGTATATGCAATAAATTATGACTACTGTTAGGGAAGAGATATGGCTCCTATGGTGGGCAACATATTATAGTGAAAAAACACAAATTTGAATTTAAAAAACTCTAGGTTTATGTCATAGTTCTGCCTCTTAATGACAGTATAGTCTTAGGCTTAAACTCACCGATACTCCATTTCCTTACTTTCAAAATAGCAGTTAGAAGAATTACCTCTTAGGAAATCATGAAGATTTCGCTAAAATGATATGTGTAACAAAGGAAAAATACTTTGCCCTGGCACCAGAACTATTTTTGAGGGCAGAACCATATTTGGGAGAGCATCTTAAGTTATTTTGAAGTAAAACTGCTTGAATATTGGTGGAAGCTCAGGCATCCCACTGGTCAAACTGCATCGCATCAGAGACAGTGAATTCTGTCTTATGAGGCGGGAGAGAAGAGAAGGTGGAGGGGTGGGCAGAGAGGAGGGAGGAGCAGGGGAAAAGACCTGAGGCTCCGTACTGAATGGCGTTAAAGGACATCAAAGGATGAGGCCACCACTCATTATCTGAAATCAGGGAGAGTCTTGCTGGCCAGGTATAGTCTCAGTGAGCAAAGCAAACTGCTCCAGCAGACATTGATCCAGTGTTGGGGAATGGTTTGTTTCAGGGTTGACATCAGCCTTAGAAGTGTGTTGGGAAAGCCTGCCACCATTATATGACTTTCAAAGCTTGGAGCTGTCACTGACTGGTTGTTTTCAGAAGCATATTTCCTAAAGGGTGTTATCATTGATAAAAATGTTTAAAAACAGAATTGGTATTTGTTACCATGACCTTAGGACTGTACTAGGACTATATTCCATTGAGTGGTTTAACGGATTTACAACTACTTCTGGTATTTACTTGTTACCCTGGCTTGGAGAACTGTCAGTCTTTTCCTAGGAGTGTGGGGATTTCTTTATTTTCCAAGGCCAGGGTGCCTGGGTGGCTCAGTGGTTAAGTGTCTGCCTTTGGCTCAGGTGATGATCTCGGGGTCCTGGGATTGAGCCCCACATTGGGCTCCCTGCTCGGCAGGGAGTCTGCTTCTCCCTCTCCCTCTGCCCCTCCTCCTGCTTGTGTGCATGAGTGTGCACACGCGTGCTCTCTCTGTCAAATAAATAAATAAAATCTTTAAAAAAAATAAAAAATAAATTTTCCAAGACCAGTTGAGATTGCTGGGAGAGGCCAAAGGACATTGCAAAAATGGGGAGACACAACGAATGTTTTTTTTTAAGATTTTATTTATTTGAGAAAGACAGAATGAGAGACAGCACGAGAGGGAAGAGGGTCAGAGGGAGAAGCAGACTCCCCGCCGAGCAGGGAGCCCGATGCGGGACTCGATCCCGGGACCCCAGGATCATGACCTGAGCCGAAGGCAGTCGCTTAACCAACTGAGCCACCCAGGCGCCCTGAGACACAACCAGTGTTTAAGTGGGTGTTATTTGTATTGCTGTAACCAACTCCCCTCCATTTCTGCCTTCAGTTCTGAGCCACTTTGATGGGTGGTTTGTATATATGTGGATTTCCCCCCTTACTGAACTAAAAGAAAGGGTTGGGTTGTATGTCTGGGTCAGCTTGTTGTGGATGAGGGTTAGTAATCAGAAACCTACAGCAAAGAGTGGTCACTCAGCAAATATCTACTGAGGGCCTGCTCTGTGCCAGGCATCGTTGTATGCCCTTGAGATATATTAGTGAATAAAAACAACAGTGATTCCTGCCTTACATTTTAGTCGGAGGGAAGTCTGATAATAAAAAACAAAAGGATAAATAAAGAAATAATATGACAGAACATGATGGGATTTATGGTAAAACAAAAGATAGAATAGGGTAAGAGGAATGAGGTGCTGGAAATAGGGGAGGAGAGGTAGATGCAATATATACAGTGGGATTTGACTAAAGCCTTGAAGGGTTAGGGGAGTTAAGCAAACAGATAAGGTAGAAGAGTATTCCAGACAGCAGGACCAACTAGAGCAAAGACCCTAAGGGGGAGTGTGCCTAGTGTTTTAGGAACAGTAAGAAGGTTAGTGTGGCTGGTGCAGGGAGTGGGGGGGTGACATAGAGGATGGGGTCCAAGAAGTAATTGGTGACCAGATCATGGTTGGGCCTCTTAGGCTATGTTAAGGACAATAGCTTTTACTCTAAGTAACAATGGAGAATCACTGTAGGGTTTTGCACAGGGAAGTGATATGTTCTGTCTTATATTTTTAAAGTATTATTCTGCCTGTTGTGTTGAGAGTAGACTATATTTGGTCAAGGGTCTAAGCAGATAGCAGGCTATTGCAAGTAACCCAGAGTGAGAGATAAAGGTAAATGACACCAGGGTGGTATCAGTGGAGGTGGTTGGTTTCAGGATATACTTAGAAAAGTAGAGCCAACAGGGTGTGGATGTGAGAGAGAGGAGGCAAATGTGACTCCCAGGAGTTTTGGCCTGAGCAAGTAGGAAGTGCAGCTGTCGTCAACCTAGATGAAGAAAACTGTGGGTGGAGCGGGTTTTGATGGGGAGATCAGGAATTTCGTTTCCTATTTGTTGAATTAGGGATATTGATTTGATATCTAATAGAGGTAGGGAATAAGTAGTTTGGGAAAGATGTCTGGTAGAGGTAATAAGTTTGGGGGTTGTTGGCTTATGGACAATATTAAAAGCTACAAGAGAGGATGGGATTTCAAAGGGACAATGAGAAGAGAAAAGGAACAAGGACTGAGCCCTGAGACACTTCAAAGAGGTCTGAAAGAAGAGGAGGAGCCATCAAAGGAGACTGGGAAGGAGCTACCAGGAAGTGAGGAGGAAAACCAGGAGAATTATGATGGCCTGGAAGCTTGTCAAATGGAGAGTATGTGGAGCTGGTATACAAGATAGATGTCAGACCCGTATCCCTTATAAATGGAAAAGCAAAATCCTTAACAAGATACTAGCACACCAAATCTGGCAGCGTATTAAAGGGATTATACACTATGATCCAGTGGGATTGTTCCTAGGAATGCACAGCTGGTTCAACATACGAAAATTATCTAGCATTGTTTTATTATGTTTAAAAACACAGTATTGCATTGCTGAAATACCTGTCTTGCATTTTGGCTTTCCTCTTTTTCCTGAAATGTGTAAAAATTAATTCTTTTTATGTATTATATTTTCACTATTTGTTCTACTTTTTTAAGTGAATAATTATATTCTTGTCCTGATGAAATTTTATCCTGATTATGTTTGGACACTGCTATAATTTATTGGGGTCACTTGATTCCCCAGAATGCTTGTATGTCCTGCCTATATCAGTTAGGATATTTTAATTCTCAAGTAATAGAAAACCATGATTCAAACTGCCATACTAAGAGAATTTATGGTATTACATAATAGAAAATCCTGAGTTAGACTAGGCTGCAGAATTGGTTGACACAGTGGCTCAACAACTTCATTAAGGTCCTGTATCACTCCCTCTGCCTTTCTCAGTGTTAGTTTTATCTTGAGGTGGGTAGAAAGGTGACCACTAGAGTTTCAAAATCAGAACAGCAATGTCCAGAGGAACTAAGAGATCATTTCTTAGGAACGGGGCAATTTTTTCCACAAGTCCTTAAAAATCTTTGCCTTATGCTAGGATTAGTTCATGCCCGCTCCTAACCTAGTCACTTGGAAATGAGATGATTGTTAGACTTAGCCTAATTGCTTGATGTAGATAGATGGTGGAGAGTCTACTTCCATGATCATTATTCCAATCTAAAGTTGTGCTGAGAAGCACTACCCTAAAATGTAGGCTTTTCTCTCAATCAGAAATAGCTGTTAAAATAATTCGGATTTATTTATAGAAAACAATTGCTTATGGTATTGGACATTCTTCTGTTGTATCTAAATTTTCATAAGAATATTTTTATCCTTGTCAAAACTTTCATACAGAGAGCAGAAACAAACATATTCTTTGTAGAAGGATATGATCTTTTTTTATAGCTTTTATTTATTTATTTGAGAGAGATCGTAAGAGCGAGTGCACGAGCAGGGGGAGGGGTGAAGGACAGGGAGAAGCAGACTCCCCACTGAGCAGGGAGCCCGACATGGGGCTCGAGCCCAGGACGCTGAGATCATGACCTGAGTTGAAGGCAGACGCTTAACCAACTGAGCCACCCAGGTGCTCCTGTAAAAGGATATAATCTTAACCTACAACTTTGACTCATTGCTGCCAAAAATAGACTTTGGATGGATTTTTGAGGTAAAAAAAAATCCCTCATTCTCTGAGAAATGAAAATAATTTACTTCACTTTGTCAGTGGATTGATTTATGAAATGAATGAAACTAGGTTATGAATTGTTTTGTAATGTGGATAATGACTTTTCAATTTATCTTTCTGTTGAGCTATGTTTTCATATACTATATTGGGTTTCCGTAAATCTAGAGAGAGTTCTTGTATGCAATATGTCCTAAGTGACAACTCATTTACATACTGTATTCTTATATTCAGAGTTGATGACTTTTCAGAAAGAACAATTACTTCATCACTTACATCTGAAGAAAATGAAGTTGACTTTGAAAATAGAGTTTCAACAGCAGATGAAGTAATATGGTCAAGTAGCAGTGAAAGTAAATATCAAGTAAGTCACTTTAGTGAAAGTCATATGATATCTTCAAATGGGACTAGCTCATCTTTGTCACTGTTTCGTTCAGAAGTAAAGGAATTTTCTCCAAGCCATGGAGGGTATCCAGAAAATGAACATGAAACAGTACAATTTGCATCCAAAAAATTATTTTCAATAATGAAAACCAACAAAAATAAAAATTTAGTATTTTCTTCTGACTTTAACTTTTCGAGAAGTTCTAGAATCACTATAGAAAGTGAAGATCTCAATGTGGCACCATGCCCTCCTGCCCACTTATTTCTTTCTAGAGACCAAGTCAGACTTCTGGAAGAAAATGTGAGAAATCAAACTGCTTTAAAATCCAAAACTACATTAGAGAGTAAAACTACTTATCTATACTCAAGACTTCAAGAGTCCTTGATCCAGAATCAACATTCTGTTAGAATAGGTATTTCTGCCCAACCACAAGATTCTTTTCCAGGACAGAATGCTCCTCAGAATCAACATTTTTATGAAGCCAGATATACTAGTCAAGCCCAACAATTTGTTAACAACCAAGAATCAGTCAACAGCCAGCCTGATATCATGGCCAGATACTTTGCTCTACCTCAAGATTTGGTGAGGAAGCCGTTTTCCAGCAGCATGCAAGATTCCTCCCAGACCCAAGATATGGACAGAAGCCAACATTTGGTCAATGTCTCATATTCTTTTGAGACTCAAGATTCAGTCAAAGGCCTAGAGTCTGATAAACACTTCGATGAGGCCCAGTATTCTGTTTGGCTTAAAGATTCAAACAAGATTAAATATTTAATTCGGGGGCAAAATGCCATTTTTAAGAATGCCAGATTTCTAATTTTAACTCTAAGTCCAAATTCATTTGCAGAAGGGGTGCTACAAATAAAGAGTGTAAAGCCAGGGGGCCAGAAACAAATTGCTTCATCAGAATTAAGTCAGTATTCTGTATATGGCTCAGGGCCTCTTTCACCTATCCTCAAAAGGCAGAAAAACAGGAGAAAAACATTACACGGTAAAAGTAAACTTAGTCTCAAAGTTCCATCTCAAAAGTCAAAGAAAACACCAACTCCATGGGTATTTCAAATGACAGTATGTCACACTTCAAAACCTAGCAAGTTTGGATGCAAGTATAATGCTAAGAAAGAAGAATTACATCAAAGGAAAGGTATATCAGATATGGCTTTGCATCTTACTTATGTTTCCAAGCTTATTCCTCCTTATGTTAAGAAGTATGCCAGAAAAAAACTAGTGAAAGTCATGCCAGGTGTAATAGGATGTAGACATTCTCTGTCACCAGATGCACAGAATGTCAGTTATGTGGGGTCTATTGAGAAAAGAGGAACCTCAGGCAGTACTAAAAATAAAAAGCAGCATGGCAGAGAAAATAAAGGACAAATAACCATTTCACCAAAAATCCCACCTCAGCTAGAACAGTCTTTCATGATCAATACTTTTCAACTACAATCACCTTGTTCTTCCTTAATAGAAATGACCTGGAAGAATAAAGAGTCTCTTAAAGACCCAATTACACAAGCAAAGGAAATTGGTATTGCAGAGTTTCGTGCCCCAAATAGTAAAAAAACATCTGACCTGCATATTCCAAAGCAGGAGGCATCTTTAAAAGAAGCTTTATCAGAACATTGGCAAAAATTTGTCTCCTCTCCCAAAGTGGAATCAAACAGGAGACTGAAAACACAGGAAGACTTAAAAAGTACAGAGAATTCCCATCTTCCACTTTCAAGTGGAGAAAAGTTACCAACTAGTTCACCAGAAATGCAAAAGTGCTTTCCAGATGGAAACACACAAAAGCAAAAAGATTTTCTAGAAATTGTTCTGGAGACCTCAGAGGTTAATCTCCTTATATCACTAGGAATCAAAGAGCACGAAGGCAGTGAACAATTAGCAAGTGTAAAAACTCAAGACAGTACAGAAGATGTAATTATGAAGGAAAAGAAACCACTACTAACACTTCATGTTACAGAATGTGATAACCTAAGTGAAAGTGAGGGACTGGAACGCAACACTAGAAGCAACATAAAAAATATGCAAGGTAAAAGAATATTTGCTACATTTCAGAATGCCACCAACACTACCATTTCTGAACCACCTGATAGGGAAATGCATAGTGGATTAAAAGGCAAGACACATACATCAACAACAGGGGGTAGTCATTCAGTGGTAAAGCTGGAGAAATTACCAGATGAAAAGAAAACATGGGATGCAAAATACATTGAGAAGAGATGTATATTTAAAAAGCCACAAGAACATGACAGAGAGGAACAAGAACAAACTTTTCAAGAAGGATTTCCAGAGCTAACACAAGATTTCAGCCTCAGCCTGCAACTAAAGCAGAAGCCTAAATATGTCAGATTTGAAATAAAACAGAGCAGTTCAGGAAGCAGAAAAACTCAAAGTAAAGAGCAAGAGGTACAACCACAAACTCTTCCTACAGAAACAATTTTGGGGACTAGTCCATGCCCCACGACGGATCCATTTCAAATTGAGGTAAAGCAAAGCAGAGACAGACCTACAGGCAGAGGAACTGCAGATCCAGAGAATCCTCTTCCAGTGCTAGAGAACCCACGAGTTGGCGAAGTTTTAATTGAAACAACAGAATGTGGTGTCCCATTTGGTGGAAGCCCCAGAAAGATAGCAGATGATCATATTACAGAAGAGAAGTCAGACCTCCAACGAGTTTTACCTGCAACTGCCCTGGGGTCTTTCATTATCTATATGCTTCCTTTATCACATTTTAAAAGGCAGCAAATTAGAAAAAAATTATCAGGAGCAAAAAGGGTACTCAGTCCCAAATCTGCAATTATGAAAGTAAAGAAGCCAACCAATTTACTGATGCCTCATATCAGAAGGCATGGTACTGCAAGTCTTAGGAAAACATTGAGAGGCAATTTTAAAATCCTAATTAAAGAGATGCTGCAAGATAAAATTGTGGCAGATGTGCTCGTGAATGTTACTTACCCTCACATGTCTATTTTGCCTCGGATTAGAACACATGGCAGATTAAATGCAGAGAATCGCAGTCACATCAAGCTAAAACAAGAGAAATCAGACGATAAAAGGGAAGAAAAGTATTCAGATTCTATTAATAAAGGCAGTGACTCTGGCAACACATTAGAAGAAGTTAAATTGCAAGATGAAGTGAGAGGAGACAAAGAAGCTCCACCAGAAGCAGTCCTTCATGACAGCTGGAACCTCCGATTGAATGCCAATCCAGAGAAGGACCTCAAAGCAGAGGAAGACATACCTCAACCAATTACATCCATGGAAACCCTTATGGAGTCTGTTTACTCTCCCGTAATGGGTCTAACTCATGTTGAGAATATGAAGAAAAGCCTAACAACACAAGCCGACTTGAAATGCACTGCAGATTCTGAGACACCTCTCCCAACATCAGAGACACCTCTCCCAACATCAGAAAAATCACTGGCTGGAGACCCTCCAAACCAAACAAGAGAAAGTGATGTTCTAGATTATGGAAGTGATACAAGGGAAATGGGTTACTCTTCTGCAGAAACAAGTTCTGCAGAATTACCAAAAGATTTACCAGCAACTTTTCCAGAGACTTTTAATTGCCACATGCCTATTTTAACTCATTCTAAAATGAATAAAAACAAAGTAAGATTCTCACCCACAGAAGGTTCGGTGAAGCCCAGATCTGTACATACGAAGACAATGAAGCCGTCAGTGTCACAAGTATTTAATAGCACAGGTCAGAGAAAGAAATTGGATTCCAAATATAAGGCCAAGTTGGAGAAGATCAACCAAGCTAATGGATTGCTATATGAATTTATAAATACCCTTTACTCTCCCATGCAGAGCTTCTGTCATGCTCAGTTAAAGCAAGGGGAGTTAGGGGAAGTGAGACCACGGTATGTTGATTTTTTTGACAAGAGCAGAGCATTCCATGACCGAGAGGAAAAAGTGGAAGATGGAGAGGAAGTGGAGCAAAAAACTTTGCTAGAAGCAGCTTCACAGCATACCCAGTATCTCTGGCCTGATGCCTGTCAAGGGAAGGAGACCCACTTTGACGAACCAGACTCAGCACTGGACTGTTTAACACAGGAGCTGTCTGTTAATGAGCAAGATGCACAGCACCAAGAATGGTTTGTACAAACTGCTTTGCAGACTGGCCACCAGAAGGGTCCTCGAGAAGCTGAGGAACTCAAGAAAACCAGCGAAACAGAAAATGACGTAACAGCCCCTATGGGTCCAAAGACTCCATCGTCCAAAGCAGAGAACTCATCATTTGATACACGTTTGAACACCAGGACAGAGTGTGGCTTACCATATGGTGGAAACTCTGAGAGGGTATTAGATTCTTATTTTGTGGAAAACAATTCAGAGTTACCAAAAGATTTGCAAGTGACATGCCTGAATTCTTTTGATTCTGTTGAGCCCTTTGTTTCTAAATCTGAAAGAAAGAAAAATACATTAGATTTAGGGAGGAAGCATATAACTGTGAGTCACAGATACAGAACTATTAGGGGGGAAAAGCCATCAGCTTCACATACGCTTAATGGTACACAGAGCAAGGGACTGCAATGCAATTTTAAAACGAAGATGAAAAATCCACAACAAAATAAAAACAGGGCAGATGCATTTCTCAATGTCATTCAGTACAACTTGCCTATTTTGCCCAACACCAAAATGAGTAGCAGGTTAAATGTAGAGACAGATATGCAGAGGATAGCAAGACTTGATCATATGCAGCCAGTGCAAGAGAAATTGCTAAATAGAAGAAAAGTATGTTGCCCAGATTATATTGTGAGTACTTTAACTAACAGTGTGAGAGATGAGAAAGAGGAGGAAGGGAAACATGAAACTTTACCAGCTCCAGAGAATAGCCAAGGCTTTATAGTCAATGCATATCAGAAGGAGAATTGTGACCTTGTCAAATCAGATGAGGAACTGAAACAACCACGAAGTAAAAATATTCAGGAACAACCACGAATACATGGTACACAAGCTGTTTTAGGTTCTGCTTCATGCCCCATGTTGGATCAGTTTCAATTTGGAAAGCTAGAGAGTTATGCTAGGTTTTCACCTCCAAAGTCAGGGGAAGCAAAGATGGATGGAATCATTTTTTCTCCAAGAGAATATGGTGTCCCATCTGATGCAAATCATCAAAAAGAACAGGCTGGTGGTATTGAAAAGAAAGACACAGTGACTTTTGATTTCTGCATACCTGCTTTATCTACATTCAAAAGGAAGAAACATTTAAAAAAGTATTCAGATGAGAAAACTTTAGTGAATCTCAAATGTGGAATTTTAAAAGCAAAGAAACCATCGGTTTCATACATATTGAGTATTAAGGGTGGTGCTAGCCCAAACCATAGAAAAGAACTGGGATATAACTCTACAACCAAATTGGAAGAGATGGATCAAGGTGAAAAAATGGCAGAAAGAGAAAAAGGTATGTTAGGAGAAAGAAGTCTCAGTTCTAAACAAGTAAAGCAAGCATTATCACCATATGAAGAGAATGTTACTTCAGATGACACTAAAGAGAACAGTCTTCAAGATGCAGAGGAAGAAAGAAGTGAACAGGAGACATTAAAAATAATTCCACAGCACAGCCAACACTTCAAATTCTGTTCAGGACGAAGGGAAGAGCTTGACCTTCATCAGTCAGAAAACCAAGGAAGAGGGAACATTCTCTTTGTTATTGAACAAGACATCTCACAACAAATCCCGCGTACAGATTCAACGCAGGGAGAGAAGCCAAAGAAAAGCTACCAGACACAAAATGGTGCAATATATACAGCAAGTTCAAAGCTTCCTCTTCTAAAGCCAAAGAAATCACTAATTGGTCAAGTTTTAATGGATACAATGAAAGGTGGTGTCCTAAGTGTTGGGAGCCATATGGGGGAATTGTACCGTCACAATAAAGAGGAAAATGCAGAGTTCAAAAAAGATCTACAAGCAACTGTCCTGGAGTCTTCGGATGTCTCCACACCTGATCTATCTGAATCTAAAAGGCAGAGAAAGACATTTACAAGTAGAGCCTTAAAAAATAAAATGAGTCTCAAATGTGTAATTATGAAGGCAAGGAAGACACCAATTTCACCAACATTTAAAATCTCAGGGAATAGTTATCTAAAAAACCTACGTCCAAAGACCCTGAAATCACAGATTATTGACTTGTTAATTCATATAAAATGCTCTGGGGTATTGGAAGATCTTATTGCAGAGAGAAAGGAAGGATTAGCACAAGAATTACCAGCAACAATTCTGGAGTCTTTGGATTTATCCACACTAGCTTTACCTGCATTGAAAAGAAAGAGAAACAATTTAAAGTATATAGACAAGAGAAACAAAATGAGTCTCGAATGGGTAACTTCGAAGGCAGAGAAGGCAGCGATTTCCCAGACACTTACTATCACAAAACGTGGCACACCAAGGCATAGAAGACAATTCAAATGCAACTTCAAAATCATGATGAAACAAGGGAAACCCATGGCGGACATGATCCTAAATGCCATCTCCTCTCCTGTTCCTGTTTTACTTGACATGAAAATGCGTAACAGAATAAAAGAGTCAGATGTTTCATGGAAAATGAGATTCAGTCACAAACTGCAACAGCAAGAGCAATCACCAGATGGAGAGAGAGCCTGCTGTGCTGATTCCAGTGATAGGAGGGGCCCTGCCTCCAATGACACGAAGGAAGTCAAAGACCAACGTGAAGAAGCAGCCCCACGGAATTCTCGACACTCCAGTTTCATTGCTGGTAAAATGAAGGAGCCTCACTTTGTGAAGTCAGAACTAGAACTGAAGAATTCAGCAAAGAAAAAAATCCCAGAACCACTTAACACAGCCCCGGAGCTGCAGCAACAAACACTTTTCACACAAAGTGTATTACAGTGTGTTTCTTGCTCTATTTTGAATTCACTTCCCCTTGAGAAGCAACCAAAAAGAACAAAAACACAAAAGGGCTTAAAATATGCAAAGAGTCCAAAGTTTTTATCTCCAGTGCTAGAGAAATCAATTCCTGAATCTTTATTTGTTACAACACAGAGTGACATCCCGTCTGAAAGAGGCCCTAGGAAGGAACTTGCTAGATCTACTCCAGAGGGAAAGACAAGGTTGCAAAAGGATTTACAAATGAGAACCCTAAAGTGCTTTGATTTCTCCATGCCAGCTTCATCTGAATTTGAAGGTTGGAGAAATGCAGCACAAATCCCCAAGTCTAGAAATGGAAAAGTACAGATGGCATCAATTTTAAAGACAATCAACATCACTAAGTCTGATGCTCTTAGCCAAGGAAAGGAACAGGACTTCATCTTGGAAAACATGGGTAAAGAAATGTCTCAAAGTATGTCAGGTATATTTGTGAATACCTTCCCTTCATCTACACCTGTTTCACCTGCCATCAAAATGCATAAAAAAATAAAAGCAAAGAGAGACCCATTAAGAAATAAAAGCAGTATTATACACCCAGAACAACATGAAGGGGAAAGACTGTGTCCCTATTCTAATAAATGGAGCAACTCAAGCAGCACATCAGAATCAAGATTGCAAAATGAAAAAGAAAGAGAGGGCAACAGAGTTTTATTTGAAGCAGGTCTCCAATTCCTGTATAATATAGGAAGGAGAAAAGATCAAAATATGCTTATTACAGAGCAGGATGTGCAGCGACAAACACTGGTTTCAGAAAATAAATTGGAATCTCCTTGTTCTCCTCTGATTCCATTTCAAACTGAAGAGCTGAGCAAGAATATCCCATCACAAAAAGACATACCGCATGGAATAGGTCAAAAGATTCCATGTCCAAAATCAGGGAAAGCAGCATTTGACTACTTTTCAACTGATGAAACAGAGTGTAGTACTATATCTGATGGGAGCCCTGCAAGGAAGCTGGATGTTCACATTGCAGTTTCCCTACAACCTGAAGAAGAAGAGGAAGACATAAAAACTCAAAAAGTAATGAAACACAGAGTTGATCAAAATATCTTACCTACCAAATCAGGGAACTCAGTACTTGTAGATCCAGGTGATAAAAGCTCTAGAAGGAAAATGGGTGCCAAGAAACCTAGAGTGTTGCAAAGAGATTTACTAACGATGTCCACAATATCTGTTTTATTTGACTCTGAAAGTCAGGAGAAGATATTAAAATTTTCAGGAAGGAAAAATCTTAGGGGTCCCAAATATGTAACCACGAAGGCAAAGAAAAAGGCTCTTTATTCACAGATGCTTAATATCACTGAACACGATAATCTCTACTGTGGAAAGGAACAGAACTACAACTTAAAATCTACAATAAATGACATGCAACAAAATAGAAGTATAGCGAATGCATTATTGTCTCCCACACCTGTTTCAACTGATAACAAAATAGATACTGAAATGCATAGCACATCAGAAGCAGAGATGGATCAACCAAGAGTAAAACTATATAGCCGTACCTCTGCAGAGCTAGGAAAATCACCATGTGATAGGGAAGTATGGAAGGCCAATTCAGTTGATCCACAAAACAGATCCAGCAACACAATGAAAATGAATGTGCAACATGAAAGCAAAGAGGAGAATATCAAAAAAATGTTATCGGAATCAGTCCCACACTATAACCACCGCTTCAGTTTCAGTGCCCATCATATGAAAAATTTTGGTTCTTACCAATCAGAATCTGAACTGAGTAATTTAGAAGTCAGAAGCACTTGGAGTTTGTCTTGTGCAGCACAAAAAATGAGGCAAGAAAAATGCTTTAGAGAAACTATTTTGGAGCCTGTTTCTAGACACGTGATGAATTTTCTTCAAGTTGAAACAGAGAAAAAAAGTCTTCATACTCAAGAAAGAATTAAATGTATGGGAGGACTAAAGACTCCATTTCCAAAAGCAAGAAAATCAGAGACTGGTTCAATACAATGTGGCGTTCCCTGGGGTGGAAATCCTAGGAGAAAATGGGATAGTTATATTTTTGAGAAAAAGGCATGGAATCAAAATGACTTAGTAAGAATCTTAAAATCTTCAGGTTCTTCCAGCCTTGATTCATGTGAACCTAAAAGCCAGAGCTACACATTAGAGTTTGTAGGCAAGAAAAGTATAATAAATCCCAAGCATGTAACTTTGAAGGCAAAGAAACGATCAGTTTCACAGTTGCTTAATATCACAGGATGCATTACAGGAAGCCATAGAAAGATGAAGGGGTGCAAATTTCAGTACAAGATGAAAACGCCGTGGTTTGAAGGTGTGGGCGAGGCATCACTCCTTGCTGCTGAGGGAACTAAGATGCCACCACCCAAGTTAGTGACTGATGCACACTCCCTCACTCCAGCAGCAAGGGGCACGCTATATAACAGAACACTTCACAGAAATCTGCATGGTCATATTACGGAGGAAAAGGCAGAGTTATGGGAAAATTCAGCCACAACTTTCCTGGAGCCTGTAGATTTCTTTACACCAATTTTCTCTGACTCTGAAAGCCAGATAAACACAGTACGATTATTAGAAGAGAAAATCACATTGAATCCCAGATGTTTAACTCTGAAGGAGAAGGAGCCAGCAATTTCACAAATACTTAAAATCAGAGGGCGGTTTACCACAAAACGCAGGAAAAAACTTGGATCCAATTTAAAAACCAAAATGCAACAGATGAGTCAAGGTAAAAATGTGGCTGATACATTTCCAAATACCATTTACTTCACACCAGATACCTGTGACATTGAAAGACAAAGCAGATTCAAAATAGGGATGGACAGAATATCAAGATTTAGTCATGTACAACCAACACAAATGCAGTTGCCAGTTGAAGGGCTAGTGATTTCACAACCAGTTAATATCACTGGTCATGCTGCTTTAAGCATTAATGAGCAACAGGGAAAGAAGATAGACAGAAAGGGAGAGAAAACCGTATTAAATGTGGACCTAAAATTTGTATATGATTCTATGCCTATTTTATCACACCTAAAAATGGAGCCATCACCTGGTACCTGGGATATCTATGAAGAATCTTCTGGAAAGAGAAATGCCCTAAACAAAGCAAATGCTAGTTCTGCTTATGCCTACATACCTATGTATCCTAAAATCATAAAACATAAAGCTAAGGCAAAAACAGCAGATGTGAAAAACACTATGCATATCAGACGGATGAAATTGAAGGCAAAGAAACCACCTGTCTCCCAGCTGTTTAATACTACAGGATGTGGAACCAGAAGAAACAAAAAGGAACTGAGATGTGACATTAAGAAACAGAAGGAGTTCCAGCAAGATAAAACCATAGCAGATTTATTTCTGAACACTGTTTGTGATTCTGGATCTCTTTCATCTCAAAGTAAACAATTTACAGAAGTAGACAGGGAGAAATCCAGGCCAAGAAAGCCCATTAACGTTCCTCCACAGCTAGAGCTGGAGAAGTCACTAAACAAAAGAAAAATGTCATCTTCAGAGTCCACTGATATAAAGAGTGCTATCTCAAGAAATATCAAAACACTGAAACAACGCATTAGAGAGCAAAAAGAAAAGCGCCAAATCATTTTACTAGACATTCTCCCACAATGTAGAGATCAGTTAGTGACTGGCCAACATGTGAAGAAGGAGCTTGACCATGTGAAAATAGGAGTAGCTTTGAAAAGAGAAGTATACCCTGGTCTAGCTTCCCAGAAGAGAGAAATCAATTATACTAGGTTCAACATCCTAAGAATCAGAACTCATACAGAATGTGAATTCCCTGTTGCTCCAAGAGTAAAGCACAAAGATGCAGACGTCGTCAAACATTCGGTTTCAATTCCATGGGGGAGAGGAGTATCCAAGAAAAACAATATTTCATTAAATTCAAAAGAACAGAATATATTTCTTACAGAGTTGGATGCTTCTCAACAGAAGACTCACAAGGAGCAAGAATTTCAGAAACAAGGAAGTATTACACTGACAATTCGGGGGTCTTTTGCCTACCCCATTATGGAACCTCCTCGTTTGAAGAACACAGGAAAGGTAGCTGAGGAAGATATATACACTAACAAAAGGAATATTTCACATTTATTGAGAAGAGAAGATATAAAAGAAACCGATATCTCACAAGGTTCAAAAGGACAGAAGTTTCTTTGTACCAATCTGGTGGGCCAGCAAACTATGTCTGCAGCGCAGAAAGGAGAGGTGAAACCAGCTGGTGTTCCTGAAAGTATTGTGGATTCTGTGTCCCGCCCAAATAAAGAGCGTCTTCAGGTAACACAGGCAGTAAATACAAAGAAGGAAGATGTAAGCCCTTCTCTAAGTTTACGTGTATATCCAGGGAGAAAAGAGCAATCAAAGTTAACGGATATTCCATTAAGATTAAATGGACAGAAAGTGACTTCTGAAAAACTGGGGGTGAAGCAACTACATAGTTCTAACCAGAATAAAGAAAATATTCTGGAATCCATTTCTTCTTGCATGTTGGATCAACTCTATAATGAAAAGCTGAAGAAAAAAGTCTCAGCAAAAGGAGTGAGTTCAAAAGTTTTGAGTTCAGTAGTAGACAAAGCATCAAATGAAGCAGATACTCCAGTAGATCAACCTTCTCTTAGCTTGCATAATAGAAGAAAAGAACATCAAAAAGGAGGTACATGCAAGGTTCTCCCAAAATCTGTTTCTCATTCCTCGATGGATGTACTTCAGATTAAGTTGCCATGTATAAAAAAAACATTAAAGACTCCAAGCTACCACACTGCAAATACAGAAGGAATTGGCCTGCTTGTTGAGGGAAAAGAAGAAGAGCATCCAGAATGTATATACTATATTTCTCCAAAGTCTGCTTCTCATTCTTTGAGGGAGGTAGTACAGAGTAAGATACCATGTGAAAAGAAGGCATCAGAAGAAGTAGCTAATACTGTGGATTACATTCCAAGTAGAGAAAAAATTAGCTCGCTCATTACAGGAAAAGAGAGCAAGGTGCACACAGGTAAAGATCAATCAGGTATGAAACTGACAAGCTTGTGTACTTCCTTACCATCTCTATCACATGCTAATGTGAATTCAAGAATAAAAGTAGGACAAGATAAGTCAGGAATACCAAGGAGCTGCCTTCCACCACTAAAGCTCCAGGTATCACCAAATGTCAGGAAAACTTCATTTGCAGAGTCAATTAATAGAGGTCGTTTAAGCAATGTAAGAGAATCAAAACATTTGCCACAGGGAAAAAAAGAAGATGGAGTATATGTGAAAGACATAAGGGGCCTCAAATGTGTCACTTTTAAAGGAAGGAAAACACCTTTGGAACACACACTGCATGGAAAAGAACCACAGTGGAAGAAGAAAGAACAAGAGGGAATGATGCAGAAAGATCAAAGTGATCCAGACAGAGTCCAGAGTAAACGCCATGCTTCCATTCCTTCTTCACCTCATGTGGACTGGGATCCTGGAATAAAAGAGGTGCTCATGCGAGGAATCACAAGATTTTGTCCTCCATCACTGACGCTCCAGGAGTTATCAGATACGATGGGAATATGTGCGGAGCCAGCTGATGATATTTTAAGCAGTATAAAAAAGGCAAAATATATGCCACAGAAAGATGGAGTGGAAAGGGCTTTGGAAGAAATCAGGCATCCCAAAAGAATAGCTTTGAAGGCAAAACGGACTCCAGTTGCACACGAATTACAGCTGAACATCAAAGAAAAAGAGAAAAAGATGCAGGAAGATAAAGATAAACCAGTTGGGATTCAGAGCAAATCTTGTGTTTCCATCTCTTTTCCACCTTACTCAGAAGTGGACACAAGAATAAAAGGGGAAGAAGCCTTGCTAATAAAAACAAGACCCTCTTTCCTACCAACAGAACTCCAGGAGTCATCAGATAGAGGAAAAATAGCATACAAACAGTCTATTCATGGTGATACCTCAAACAGTGTGAAAGAACCCAAGGAACATTGTATAATTCAGGAAGAAGAGGAGAAAGTAAAAATGGTAAAAGTCATGCTTTTGAGGAAAAAGAGATTACCAATTTTACAGCTGGACATCAAAGAGCAAGAGGAGAAGACACAAAAAATTAAAGGTGAGCCAAATGTCCTTGCGACCAATACTAGCACTTGCATACCTGCTCCTTCTCATTTACAGTTGGATACAAGAATAAAAAAAGCAGACCATGTAACTGAAGCAACAAGATGCTCTCTTCCAGAACTATCACAGCAGAAATCATCAGATGCAGTGAAAAAGGCAAATAAAAAGTCCACTGATGGTGATGTCACAAGTGATGTACAAGAAGCAAAAGAACATGCACCACAGAAAGAAGAGACTAATGTAGAGAAATCACCGAAGAGAGACACAATGCAGCCAAAAGATAAAGATTTGAAAGGAAAGAAAGCACTATTACAGGACATACCATTGAATCTTAAAGAGCAGGTGAAAGAGGGTCCAGAAGGTGAAGAGCAGGGGAGAGTGGATAGAGGAGGTAAAGGTGAACAAGAAGTAGTTCTGCCCACAAATTGGGCTTCTGCATCTTTAACTCACTGTGAATTGAACACAAGAATAGGAGAGGAAGACAGGCAAGAAATAACAGGATCCGCTGTTTCACGACTACAGCTACGGAAATCATCTGCTGCAGGGAAAGTAGTGTATACAAAGTCAGCTGGAGATGATATTTCAGATGATGTAAGAGTAGTCCAAGAGTATGAGCCACAGCAAGGAGAAGATAAAAGAAAAGTGGTAAATAGAAAATTTAGAATGTGTCCCAAAGGCACAACTTCCAAGGCAAAGGTATTACCGCTTCCACACGTACTCTTTACCTCTGGGGGTTGTGACGCCCAAATTAAAGAAGTACAGACAAGCGTGAAAGAAAAATTAAGATACATACAAGAAAGTAGTGAGCTAGGTCAGGTTCTGACAAGACCTTCTCTGCCTCGGTTTAAATTAAACGAAAGTATAGAAGGCAAGGAGGAGAAACAAGTATCAAGACCCTTTCTTCCACCCTCATGGCAAAGGGAATCATCAAATGCAGAGAAATTAAAACATACAGTGCTACCTTTGAGCGATGTTTCAAATGATGCAAAAAGAACAAAATACACGACACAGCGAGAAGAGGATAAAGCGAATACTTTTGAGAAAGACATAATGCATTCTAAGTATATAGCTTTGAGGGCAAAGAAATCACCCCTTTCCCTTATACTCAAAACAGAGAAACTGCAAGTGAACATCAAAGAACAAGGGGAAGTGGGACAAGAAGGTAACAAGGAAACCATTGTGCTTCTGAGCAAAATTCATCCTTTTCTCATTTCCTCAACTCACCTTAAGTGGAACACAAGAAACGACGAGGAAGGCGAGCCGGGAATAGTAAGAAATGATGCGCCACGTCTTGAGCTCCAAGAATCATTGCCCTCAGGGCAAATAGCATCTGCAGATTCACCTGACAGCCATGTGCAGAAAGGAGACCAACGCCCACGACAGGCAGAAAGGAACGGAGTACAAACAGGAGCCATGAAGGGCTCAGTGCAGCCCCGGGGCACAGATTTTAAGGCAAAGACATCACCACCTTCTCATACATTCGGTGTCACTGAACACGGTGCCTTGAACCAGAGAAAGGAACCACAGTGGCATATGAGGGAGAAAGTAGAACAGGGGCAGCAAAGAACAGGAGATCCTGATGCAGCTCTGACAAAAACTTCTCCTTCCACAGCTTCTCCGTCTTCCCACAGATCGGACACAAGAACTAAAGTAGACAAAGATTTGCTTGCAGTTACAGGATTCTCTCCTTCACAGTTGCTGTGCTCTAAGTCATCAGGTGCAGGAAAAATCAGATATGCAGATTCCAGTGAAAGTATTAGGTCATGTAATGTCATAATAAAAGCTTACCAAAGTATGCCATATACAGAGGTAAAGGACAGAGTAAAAATAAAAGGTGGGAAAGATCGAAGATTCCCCCAAATAATCACCTCGACAGCAGAGACATCCCCACTTCCACATCTGCCCAGTAGAAAGAGGCTACATTTGAATATTAAAGAGCAAGAAAAAGAAGTGCCAGAAGGCGAAAGTGAACCAGAAATGGTTCTGAAGGAAAGCTATGCCTCCTTACCTTCTCCATCTTACCTGAAATGGGACACAAGGATGAATGAAGAGGAAGACACACGAAGAATAACACAATCCTATTTTCCACCACCAAAGATTCAGGATCCATCCAGTTCAGGCAAAAAGCGATATACTAAGTCATTTGATGGTTGTGTGTTAAAAGAGAAGGATAGACTCAAAACAGATCTTGAAAACAAAATGGTCCCAATACCTATGGCTCTGAAGGCAAAGGAATTACCACTTTCACGTATACTCGATACCAAAAAATTGCAGTGGAAAATTAAAGAGCAAGAGAGAAAGGTGCAGAAAGATGAAAACGACCTAGTTACGCATCAGGAAAACATTTGTACTTCTTTACTTATTCTACCATATCTTAAATTTGGTTCAAGAGAAGGAGAGGGGTACATGATAAGAATTACAAAACTGCCTCTCCTGCACCTACAGTCCAGGGAATCACCAGATGCAGTGAAAACAACATACGCAGAAACAACTGATGGAGAACTTTCAAATGATGTAAAAAAATTAAAAGAACACACATTACCGAAAGAAGTGAGGGACAGAGAGAAAAAGGTGGATATGAATAGTATGGTGGATCACAATGATAGGTATTTAAAAGCAAAGAAATCACCTAATTTACTTAGATACAATCTAAGTGCCCTTCAGTGGAAAACTGAAAAGCAAGAGGGAACAGCTCAGGAAGGTCAGCGTGAGCCAGGTGGTGCAATGCTGACTAAGACTTGTACTTGCAGATCTCCCCTACTTCACTTCAACACAAATACCAGAGTTGAAGAAAAGAGAATACCGATATTAACAAGATCCTCTTTTCCCACAGTCGGCTCCCAGGAATCATCAGATTCCGAGGACATGGAGTGTATAGAGCCCATTACCAGTGATATTTTAATCAGTCCACAAAAAGGAAAACATCGTATGCCCCAGAACAAGGAAAGGGATGGAGTAGAAATAGTAAACCTCATGTTTCCCAAACATCAAGAAAAGAAGATGCAGGAAAGTGAAGATGAACCAAGGGTGGTTGTGGCCAACTCTTCCTCTCCATCACCATCTCTCCCTCACCTGCAGTTGGATAAAGAAACACAGGTAGGTGATGAAATGCTAGGACCTGCAAGGTCTGTTGTGCAGAGAGAATCAAATGCCGGGGAAGTAGCGCATACAGAAGCAATCCGTGGTGATGTCATGGAAGACAGTCAAAACAAGAAACGACTCGTGCCTCAGGAAGAGGAGCAGGACAGAGAAAAAACAATAGATATGAGAAATATGACACACACCACAGATATAAGTTTGAAGTCCAGGAAATCACCTCCTTCACTTAAGCTCCATAGAACACAATTGCATCTGAACAGGGGAGGGCAAGAACAAAAGAAACATGAATGTCCAGGTAAACCACCTGGTACAGTGCTAAGAAAAATTTATGTTTCCAGACCTCCAGCTGAACTTACATTGGATAAAGGTATACAAGTAGATGAAGAAAGGCTTAGCATTAAAAGACCCTCTCTAATTCCACAAATGCTTTCAGCAGTATCAGATACAAAGATGAGAGCAGATACAGGGGCAATTTGTGATATAAGAGAAAGAAAACAACATATGTCACAGAAGGAAAAAAGGCACGAAGTGCAAACAGTAGATATGAGGATCATGATGCATCACAAAGAGGCCAGGATTTCATCAATTTCACATATCTTTAACACAAAGGAATTTGTGTTGAATATTAAAGAGCTAAAGGAAAACGCATACAAAGGTAAAGATGAGCTACCTGTGGTTCTGACAAGGACTTTTCTTTCTGTCCCATCAGCACCTTCCCTTTATCTAGCCTCAGGGAGCAAAGTAGACAAAGATGTGCCAGGACTTGCAGGATCCTTTCCTCCACAGCAAAATCTCCAGGAATCATCAGATACCCAGAAAACAGCAAATACAGAGGTAGTTGCTGGTGATGGTGAGATCGTTAAAAAAGCGGGACACTCTGTGCCCCAAGAAGAAGCAGTACAACAGTGGACCTCAAACTTCATGATCAGTGTACAGCGAAGGAATGAACCTCCACGAGTCAAATCTGAAGGAGATCTGAGTCAGTTAGTTTTAAATTCACAGCATGAGAACATTTATTTAACAGGATTTGGTACCATAACTGGAAAGAGGCTGGAGTATTTCTTTACAGGACAAGAGGTTCAGCCAGAAAAATACAAAACAGAAACTTTCACTACATTTCTTTCCTACCCCACCATGGAGCCCACTAAAATTGGAAATCTGAAGAAACAAACTGAAATAGTGGATAACTTAAACCATAAAATAAGCCCTAATGTTTTAGTTACACCACCAAGGAAAATAACCAAGGAAATATATATCACATTTGGTACCCCCGTAAGTGCAAAAGGATTTTCTGTTTCAGAGCAAGATGCCCACCAACAAAAAACTTTATCAAAAGCATCTCCAGGATCTGCAGATTCATATAAATTTGATAAGCCAGAGAAAGATGTACATAATAATGATAAAGTGAGCAAAATGCTCTCTCCCGAAGTGTTGGCCCCACAGACAGAGGGATCACTTGAGAAAATGAGTATCGCAGAGTCAGATACCTCCCCAATTATAGAGGAACAAGAGATTGTTGTGAAAAAGCAAGTGGTGCTACAGTCTGAAAGTGGACATAAGACCTGGCTGGACTCCAGCTTTTCTCGTAAGTTCCCACTTCAAAATGGAGGGCAGAAGATGCCATTGGAAACAGATGTACACAAGCAAACTGCGGTGTACCCCAGAATACTAACACTACCAGGAATACACATGGATATTACAGTGTTTGATACCATAGGAGGGGAAAAAGAACAGGGATTGCCAGTTCCACAACAAGAGGAATATATTCTAGAATCACTTCAGAAGTCTCTTTCTTCCCACTGGACTTTTCCACTTCAATCTGGAGATCTGGAGGGAAAAAATAAAATGGACACAAGCGCTACTATAAATCTGGAGCAAAAAACATTAGAAATGGAAGAAGGGGAGTTAAAAATAGACACAAACGTAGCTATCCGTCTGGCAGCAGACAAAACAGAAATGCACAAAGACACCATGGTCAATCTGGAGGAGAACAAGAAAAGGGACACAAGCAATACCGTAAACCTGAACATTCCATCTCTAAAGGCACAGATACCTCAAATTAACACTCAGCTGATAACTCATATAGCAAACAGCTGCCCAGTCAAGCAAAAACATAAAAAGGAACTAGAAGTCTCTGGTGCAAAACAAAATATTCAGCCACAGAAATTGTTTCAAAAACACGTTCTAGATTCATTTTATGCCGATATTCCTCTTTCTCTCAAATTTAAAAGCAGGAAAGGCAGGTTGACAGTAGCAGATTTGAAAAGAGAATTGAGCCCCAAATATTTAACCATGAAAATCCCAAATCATCCGGTTTCGCAGATTCTTAACAACACGGGACGTGGCACTCCAAGCAATAGAAAGAAATTAGAGTATGACTTGAAGAAACCAAAGAAAACAGTTTTGCGGAGTGAAGATGCCTCCGGGATATTTGTCAGAAGTCTTTCTATTTCCACAATGAGTTCATCTCAGATGGAAGAAATAGTAGACTCTGAGACAAACCAAGGAAGAGAAAAGATACTGTGTCCTTCTGAATTCCAGCAGAAATCATCACACACTCAGAGGAAGAGCTCGAGCACTATAAAAGAAGGGGACCAGAATTTTACAGACACAGCTCCACAGGATTCCCAGCCCTCTGTGGTAGAGGAGCAACAAATGCAAAAACTCCCCAGTGTTGAATCAGAAGCAAACCTTGGCAGTGAAACAAAGGGAAAAAATGTAATTCCACAAACCAAAGAAGAAAGGGTTGTTCCAGGGCACGACAGCTCAAGGATCATAAAAGAACCTGACTTGCGTATGACTGAAGAAGAAGAAAAGGCACCAAAACCCATTCTGACACCTACAGAGGGTCCACTCGTGTCTGACGAGCCAGAGGACAATGTGGAAGCCCCCATGGAAAGCACCCTAAGTATGAGTATTTCCCCTCCAGGACTAGAAGAACCACAACATGGGACTCAGCTATTCAATACCATGGAGTGTATCTCACCCCCTCAACAGGGGGATCAGAGCGAACCCATCCAGGCTACAACCGCACAAAACGTCCAGCAACAAAAAACTTTTCCAGGAACTGGGCCTATACCATCCCAAGTTAAAAGTAATGAAATAAAAGTAGTGGCAGATAGTACAAGTGCAGAAAGTTTACTTCCTCTTTTTGAAGCAATTAAAAGTATCTTTGAATCCCAGATAAAAAATATGATCTATGACAACATTTGTGAGGATATACTGAAAAAAGTAAAAGCCCCAAAACCTGATGATTGGAAGTTACCACTGTGTGCAGGGAGCCCAGATACAACATGCACAATACCTCCCAAAGTGCAGCCAAAACCCATTTTAGAACGTTTTACTCCCAAAGAAAACAATAAGCTCACTAATCATTTCGAGTCAAAAGCATTTGAAATAAAACTGAATCTGATACCAGAGATGGCAAAACAATCCTTCCAAAAGCTCAACTTTTATCTAAAACAGTCTTTTTCAGAAGATAACAGTTGGAGGCTATATCCGAGACATAAAAAAATGTGCTTTTTGTCTCTAGAAGGGATTGATACTGTAGAACTTCACTTAAAACAGAAATGCGCTAAGGATTCACCGCCTGTCAGCTGTACGAAGACATTGATTGTCAGTGTTTCAAGTGACAGTGAAGAGATCATTACAAAGTTAAGGAGTATCAGTAAGCTAGAAAGTGGAGTGTCTTCAGTGACTTCAGCTAAGCAGATGCCATTGCCTCATATTCTTCAAAACTACTCAGTAGAAGAAAAAGACAAACTGCTCATACACTTTTCTATGAAAACATTGGAGATTCAAATGAAAGCCTTTCCCAGAATTGTAAGAGAATCCTATGCAATGGCCAGTCCTCAGAATATAAGGAAGCCTTTATCTAAATGTATTCATTCTGGTTTCAAAGTACCAAAACGAAAAAATAGAATTTTGTTATGTTTTGAGGAAAAATCTCTTCATCAAATAGATCTTGATTTACAATACAAATACCTTCATTTTCTCCTGGGGCTTCCAGTCAGAAGTGTATTCCCTAAACCAACTGCACTTCCCAAACATATTCTTAAGTTAAACACAGTTGCAATATGTGAAAATATAGATAACAGGGGAGAAACTGGTGGTGGTTTTTGCATTGACACGGAACTGTTAGAACAGCACATCTCTTTCAAAAATCAAAGTCCTCATGAAAACTCATCGTTGAGAAAATTCCTGGAGCCAACCCTTGTGTGTGCTTCTGACCCCAATCAACAAGGCCCAGTGCAGAAAGATACTACAGCTCTTTCAGAGTTAAAATCTCACATGACTCTGGAAAAAGATAAACAATGTCATGTATGGTTTCAAGAAACAGATATATGCAAATCATTTGATTCAAAGACTCAGGAAAGCACTCCCAGTTTAGTTGATTCCCATTCAACTCAGATTTCTGAAGATTTTACCGAGAGTCAGACAAATATTGAGAGTTCAGCCAACTTGGAGGAATGCTCAGCTCTTGAAGCACATGAGAGTGAAGAATGTATGTTTTTGGAAGTCAACCCTTATTTAAGTCAGGAATCACAGAACATTCTATTTGAATTACAGAAAGGCATTCCTTTGGAAAATCTCTACAAGATGAAAAAAAGCAAAACGAATTTGAAACCGTTGTACAGGGAAGATTCAGTTTCCCAACATATTAGAGGCTGTAGAAAACATTCCTCAATTGTCACACCTTCCTATGAATCCCACAAAAGCAGGAAATATAAGTCATCCTCTAAAATGCCATCTCCTGACTGGTTGTGCCACGGTTCATTAAATGCTATGGAAGTTCTGTCTAGATCATCTTCCATTCCATTCAGTGAAGAGAAGTCTTCATGGACTGCAAGGTGCAGAACCAACCATTCTTTAGCTCCCTTAACAGAATCAAACATCAAATTACATCTTGCAAAAGGCCAAGGCAAACCTCACAGGCATCTGGAAAGCAAAGAAGGAAAGAAGGCCAAATCTGATTTATTTAGAAAGAACAACATTCATTGGGACTGTGATTACAGTTATACATGGACTAAAGAGAAATGCACAAGAAAGAAGAAAGTCCGTAATTGTGAGTCAGAAAGATCAAATTACTTCGCAAGCAAACCTAAGTTACCATCAAAGCTTCATCAAGAGGATATCAACTTTCATTCTGAAAGAAAACAAAACCAGCCATTTTTTTATGCCTGTATACCAGCAGATTCACTGGAAATTATACCCCAAACCATTCGCTGGACTATTCCCCCAAGAACTTTAGGGAAGACAAACTTCAGAGTTCCTCTGGTGGCAAAGATTTCAAATTCTTTCAGAATATGGACTTCATCCAAAAAGTTTTTGGAGTCCCTCTTGGAGTCCTTCAGTCCAGTTCATCCAGATTGATACTAGCATACCTAGGTTCCTCTGAAGTGGAAAGCTGATTGCTGTTGTGTTATTCTATGAAAAATAAAATCAGATAAAGTCAAATGGTTTCCTCTTGAACTGTTTTCTGAACTGATATATTTTATTTCTGCAGTAGATTTGCACAATTGTTCTGGGAGGATAGGATGGAAGAGCAGATGACTTTGGGCTTGATCCCACCATGCAGTGGGATCTCCTTTTAGTTTAAGCTGCCTCCTCATAATCCCACAGTAGAGGAGCAGAGATGTGGAAGCCTTCTTTCCATCCCACACAATGACTGAGGGTGAGTCTGAAGAAATGGAGCCTATCAATGAGATTGGGAGAGAATGACCAGAAAGTTGGGAGGGCATAGAAACTAAAGGGAGAGAGTTTTAAACAACAGTGAGGGTTCAACAATGTCAGAGGTCACAAAATACAGGTGGTTTTGAGAAACCATATTCCTGTGATGATTTTGTCCTCCTTCTGGACCTCAGCAGCAGCTCGTTGGCCTGCACCTGATCACCGTCTGCCATTGCAGGGTCACCTAGTCATTTCGGGACCTCGCTCCAGAGTACCTGCCACCTTGCAGGAACATGCTCTGGGAGGGGCAAAAAGTCATCCTGCAGCACTACCAGCGGGAGGGAGACTGCCTCCCAGTGTACCTGCACCACCTGCCTGCCTACAGCCACCTGCCCATGCACTTCCCTGCCCTGGGCTTCAGGGCCCCTGGCTCAGGGATGCAGCAGGCTCACCTGCTGGTGCAAATGACTGAGAACTCCACCCTTGCCCTTGGGGCTGATGACCCCTGCTCAGGCTCTTGCAGGAGGTCCAGGAAACTGGAGTCGACCCAGGGGCCTGTGGGAGAACAAACAGATGTGTGGGATTGGGGTGGGGGTGGGGCAGCAGGATTTTTAGCAACAAGGGAATATTTTAAAAATGTATTTTGTACTGGCTTATTCCTAGTATGTGAATAAAGTATTGGTCTCATTCAGAAGATAAATTTTGGGGGGCTCAGAAATATTCCATAATGTTAATCATTTTGTTATTAAATGACAAGATAAGATAGACAATAGTTTTTCATGCCACCATGACATTCATGCTAGGAATAACAGTGCTTCCTTTATTATAAATGCTACCTGAGCTTTTTAAAACACATATTTACTATGCTTGGAATATTTGGGCATGCTTAATAAAACAAACAATTACAAAATATCCCATTGTTTTAACTAAGCAAAGTACATAATTTTATACAATTTACACACAACTTTAATGTTAACAATAGAAATAATAAAATTATTTCACTTTTTGATATTTAACAATAAAAAGACTTTAAATCCCAAGACATGCACTACAACCAATTTAATAGATTCTCTCATCAGAATGATGGTCTTGGCAGCTTATATGAGTTCTGTCCATGGGGTTTGACAATCAGATTGAACATGTTAATACTTTTTATTATAGAGAATATTGAGCATACACACACAAAAAGACAGAATAGTAGGATGGACCTCTGTGTCCTCACCCAGCCCTTGAACTTCAACCTGTAACCAAACCTGCCTTATCTACTTCTCATCCACTTCTCCATTAGTATTTTGACACAAATCAGATATATAATTTTATCTATAAATATTTTCTATATCTCAACAAGATAACTATTTTTTTAACAAAACCATCTCACATCTTAAATAGTAACAGTGATTTCTTAATATCAAATATTCAATCAGATGATTTCCAATTATTTCATAAAGTCACTTTCCCCTTGTTCGAATTGGGATATAAAGAAAGTTACACTTTGTGCTTGGTCTTGTAAGTCTTTTTTAATCCATAGGCTTCTCATTCCATTGGGGTTTTTTCCTTACAATTTTTCAAACTGAAGAAACCAGGTTTTTTGTTCTATAGAGTTTCCCATGATCTGTGTTTTGCTAATAGTGTCCCCATTGGCAGATTGAAATCATTAACTACGGATCCCTATTTGTTCCTTAAAAAGGTCTTCAGATAGATTACATCATGTGCAGCATTTCAAATAAAACGTATTTGTTTCAGAAGATCAGCTGTCACTTGCGGCAATGCAAATTAGAAGCTGCTAGAGCTATAGAGCTCCCAAGTAGTTAAATGTTATATAGTTAGAGCTCTTATGGCTGAAATAGCAAAATTTCCTCCCATAAATGATAGGGAGGGATTGAGTGACTAGTTCATGCATCGTGAAGACATTTTGCATCATGAGACATCAAATGTCTACTTGTTAATATAGAGAAATAGGGGCGCCTGGATGGCTCAGTCGGTTAAGCGTCTGCCTTCGGCTCAGGTCATGATCCCAGGGTCCTGGGATCAAGCCCCGCTTTGGGTTCCCTACTCGGTGGGAAACTGCTTCTCCCTCTTCCACTCACCCTGCTTGTGTTCCCTCTCTCGCTGTGTCTCTGTTAAAAAAAAAATCTTAAAAAAAAATATAGAGAAATATGAGATTCTGAATGTGAAAGTAGATATGAAAGGGCATATTTACAGTAAGAAAAGAAATCAGTAGGAAGTTCAAAATTTGTAAAGCTGATCAAACCCAAACCATCATAATCCAGAAAAATGACATTTTTTAACTGCTTAATATACTTTTTTCCAACATTTTTTTTTTGGCTGCACACTCTTTGATCACCTCTTTGAAAAACAATTTTATAATTTTTCATATAGAGATCAAAGGTAAACCAATCTTCTAGTGGTTGATCAAAATTTATTATTTATTACTGACAATGTAGAAAATGCAGGCACTTTTGTTGACTCAGTGGCCATTTTTCATACCATTTCATCTGGAACCACCAGACTTCATCAGAACACGATACATCAAGTCAGTGAGATGCAAGCTGAGATGTGTAAGATGTGTTACGTTACACACAGATGTCCTTGCTGTTCTTGGTACTGGTATTGGTTCGTACCACAACAGCAAACGGTGGTAAACTCTGTATCATGCAATCCCCCTGAAAAAAGAAAGTATGCTAAATGTATTCTGTGTGCTCTGCTCTTTTGAGTATATTGTCAGAAAAGAATATCCTTTTTGACTAGGTGTTATAGAGAATGATTCATCAGCTTATATTTTTACATACCTGTTGGAAGATTTTCTGTAGACCAGTTTCCTATACCTCCCCTCTATGTCCCATTTTTCCTTTGTAATGGACATTCCTCCTGCACTGGGCACTGTAGGAGGCTTTCACACGACCTTACCCCTGACTTCATGTCTCAACCTGGGATGTGTCCTTCACAGTGGGCAGAAGGATTCCTGGCATCCATTTCTACACTGGGATGGCTAGCATAACTATAGACAAAAGTGAATGTCAATCACAACATTTAGCTCCCCGAACCCAACCTAAATGCACCCTAACTCCACTTCTCCGGAGATGGATCCCAAAAATGTTTACAGCCTCTCTGATCTCACCAAACATGAAGTCAAATATGATAGATGGTAAGGCAAAGTAGAAAGAGATAATATTTTTAACTAATTACAATTAAAATACCTCAAATATTTATAAATCTTTGGGGGCCCTACAGCTTAAGCTTCTTCAGTTTTTATGGTACATCTGCTTATGCAAATTAAATAACAGGAATTCATTATTCATATTCTAACATCAAACATCTATTCAGTGTCCGCCATGGGCCAGGCCTTGTCCTGGGTGCTGAACTTAACAAAAATGAAGAAAGCACAGTCTTGACCTGGGAAGCTCACAGTTACAGATCAAGAAGAGATGATATTTGCAGAGCCCTGTAACAGGCTCACACACGCACACATACTTAAACACAGCTTAGTGGCAGCTCATTTCCCCAACACACAAGCATTTGTTCCCACATCTTTGCTGAGAAAACAGAAGCAGTTCTGAGGCCACAGTTATTTGGCCTAAGCCATCTATCAAGAACTATTTGCAGTGGATGTTGGCAAAACGATTAACATCCAAGGCAAGTCTTCTGGTGACCTACGTGGTCTCGTTTCTTTTAGATACACAAGACTCGGGGGGAGCTGAGAGTCCTGTGTTTCCTTTTGGCTTTAAATACCTGAGTTATAACAGATGCTGATGGTGCAGCTAAGTGCCATTAAAACCGGGAAGAGAGATTTCCAAAGTTTCAAGGTAATGAGGGAGGGAGGATTTTTCATAAGCTATCCCGTGCAAGACTTAGATTTAGGTGTGAGAATTTCCTAGTCCTACTGCGCACAACTACATCCCTCAAGGGCCTTGACCCATTACTTGGAAGAAAGAGAGGAAGCAACAGGAATTCATCCTCAAATCAGAGGTTCCCAAATTTTCTCAGTGCCTTTAGTGTCTCTGATTACACCCCTAGACCAAAATAAATAGCTAATAATTCTCCATATTAAGTAGCTTAGGTCTAAACAACCTCATTATTACTCGTATCTTAACAACTTAGAAGTTGTTCGAAAAAACAATATAAATTAAAATTTTTTTAATTTTATTCTTAGATAAACACAATTACTTGCTGTTGGGCACTGCACAACTTTTCAAACTTTAGAATCAGATTGGACACTCCAACTGATCTTTGTGCAGTGTTTTACTTCAGCAAAAGCTAGAAAACTCAGCTTCACAAATAAACTGAGGAATGGACAGGAATGTAGAACCATCTAGTAATGTAACTGTGAACTACATTGAGCTAGTAGTTCACACAGTGTCCAACAGATGTCGCTGCGTTTCCCTCACAATTTAAAAAATACTCCATGTGGCCACAGGGCACATGTTTGGAACTGCCAACTTAAGTTTGTTGCAATGCTCTGTTTTTGTAGTTGTTCAAGAGCAGGTCTTCAAGAATAATAGGACAATTAAGGTGGTGTGAGTGGGGCAAAGGGATAGATTAGTGAGAGACTAAAGCTGGATGGATTCATTTCTTTCTCCAAGCAGATTACCCTACATACACATAGTCACTCTAATTTGTGTCCTCTTACTTTTGCAACAACAAAACTGGTGGGCCTTGGTACATTTCCATAATCCATTCACTCCCAGCTCTCCTAGCTGACTATTTTATACCTTTACTTCTCTCCTCACACCTCTAATTCCTACCCCATCCTCACAAGCAGATGACCTTGCTTTGTACTTCACTGA